ACTGGGCACGCAGACGCTTCTTGGGCTGACGACCAGGCTACGCAGCGGTCGTCACAGGGTTACACCTTCAACCTTGGTTCCGGCTCTGTTTCGTGGCGGGCTACTCGCTCGTCTTCTGTTCTCGGCTCCAGTTGTGAGGCTGAGATCTACGCAGGAGCCATGGCTGCACAGGAGCTTCGCTGGCTCACCTACCTGCTGACTGACCTCGGAGAGTTGCCTCGTTCTCCTCCAGTGCTGTACGTAGACAACAAGGCCATGCTGGCCTTGTGTCGGGAGCAGCGACTGGAGCACAGAACGAAGCACATTGCTCTCCGCTACTTTCTTGCTCGTGAGCTGCAGCAGCGTGGTCAGCTGCGTCTTGCGTACGTGGCCTCTGAGGCCAACACTGCTGATATCTTCACCAAGGCACTTGCGCCTTGTGACCATCAGCGCTTCTGTACTCAGCTGGGCCTTGTGCCTACCTTGCCTCACTTGCTCACCTCTTGACCTTGCTTGTACTGTTACATATATATATACCTGCTCTTGTTTGTCTAGCCTTTTTTTATATATATGTGTACTCCTGCTTGTGAACTGGCCTTGTGGCCTTGAACTTGTGCTCGGAATGTGTGGTGACTTTGTGATCCACCCTGAGCTTGTTTTTGCTTTGCTTTGCTTGACTGGTCTTGTGACCCCTTGTTCTCCCCCACTTTGCCTATGGGGGTGTGTCAGATTTATATGACATAGCTACTGTAGGCTAGAGTGGGGTAGCACATATGGGGTACAGTTTTCTAGGGTTTGCTTCTTGTACCCAACTTTCACTTAGTCATTCTCATTCCTGTTTTTCTTAATTCACAAACCCTGATGCGTAGGGTAAAAAAAAAAATCCCTGACAAATTCCGGGTAAAAAATATTTAAGTCTGTTTTGGCAGGGTATTTTTTTGGTACACTTTGTTTATGTATAGAGAAAATGCAAAAGTATTCCGGTTCAACACTTAGTGGCTCAGTTGGTACGCTTGCGTGTAGGATCTGTACGGTCGCATGTTCGAATCTTGCTGTTGGGAGTACTCTGCGGGGGCTCGAAGTGGGTTTTGTCTCGCTACGGAGCATTCGGTTTCAGTGTATTTGAGATCGTACCCTGTTACAGTCAGAGAAATAAATCCTATACGCTGATAACGAGAGCCCTGCTCACTTAGCCTATGGGGGTGTGTCAAATGTTGTTATAGGTTCTTAGGCTACTGTGAGTAGCACTCTAGGGAGTACAACACTCTAGGGGTTGCTATTTGTATCCCTTGCTTCCCTAGTTCAATCATTCCGTTGTGCACGTTTCTTAAGAGACACCATGTTTACTGCTGATATGGTGTTTCCTACTTAATATTTGTTGTCTGACAAAAATTGCTCACGATTCAACCCTGTCTTGCTTCTATTTTTTACTGGCTGCAGGTACTCCCCCAACATCAAGGAGATCACGGTGATGGGAACTCGTAAGGCCAGGAGGGCGAAGTTGTATTACTTGAGGGACAAGGCCGCCCGCATGTCTGCTGTGTAGGGATGGATGCCTGAAGTGAGAAAATAAATTCATGGAAATCCAGCTATGTGTGTGAGGTTTTTCTGTGCGGGGGGTATTCACAAATATTATTTATCTCATGGCATATTGGGTTCCTGTAACGTTTTTTAAAATGCAGTAACCTGCATGACGAATTGATTCCAATGGAGTTCTGAGTAACCTGCATGCCAGCTCGTCCAATCCAACGGGTCACATGCAACCCGCCAGGCGTCACCCTGCCACGCGCTCGCCACACAAGCCATCTGCTGGTTGGTCCCTCCCTCCCCTCCCTTCGTCATCTCAACTGATCCCAGGGGTTGTATCGACGGTAGTGATGGAACTAGCTCTTGCTGACCAAGGAGCTCGCAGAGGAGATCCGACGGCTCCTGCTTCGCCGTTATAGGAAGGCGTTCAGCTCATTGTCGAGGCGGATATCAGAACCTAGAATGCGTCGCGAAGGTGGTCCTGCCCGCGCGGCGAGTGTTGTTGTCCCCGCATGACAGCCGCGCGTGGCGGGTAGGGCCTCACTTGGCGGGCACATACCGAACGCCGCGGCCCAAAGAGCCGCTTGGCGGCAAGTACCATCAACTCATCCTCGGGCCATAGAAATCCGGTAGTCAGAGATTTGGTGGCCATGGGACTGCGCTTCACAAACATCGAGATTTGCTCAGTGAAGATTTTCCGGAATGAATTGCGATTGCGACCGAGTTGTTCCGTCGCCGATGACAACTCAATCCATCCGCGCGACACCGCCTCGCGAGGGTCTCGTGTCCGACACGAACACCGAGAAGCCTCATGGCCGAAAGCGCGGGAAGGGAACAAACAGGCGTTGGCGACCCCATTGGCGTCGCATCTCTCTTCCAGTGGACTCGTTACCATGACCGTCTGAAATGGAATCCTTCGCCTGGTTGGGAGCATCCAATGGAATGCTTTGCGGAGAGCGTGACACACGATTGGGGAGTTATCAGGCAAGAGTGTCGAGCAGAGCAGGCAGATAAGCCAGAGCGGACGGAGCGAGTTAGATGTTCTTTCTTTTAGCCGTGAGCTCGTCGCGAGTGTGAAGCTCGTCGTCTTTCAGCCAGCCACAGTCGACTCACTCTTCCTGTGTTTCAGCAAGCACGCGATGGCGATGGCAAAGGATCCGACGGCTTGCGTCCACTTCGCTTTGCCAGACGGAGCCTCCGCCGTCGAGATCTCAAATCCACAGAAGCTACAACCACTACCTCCTGTAGCCACCTCCGTGGCTCCTCAGAACCTAGAAATCCCCGCGACCCGCTTGCTCTGCCCGATTGAAGCACTTTCTCCTGAGCTGCTCCTTCGAATCTTCGAGCTGCTCGAGACTCAAGAGGTGGACGAACCGCAGGACGACACCTCCCTCGCTTCCCCGTCCCTCTCCTCCGCTTCATCCCCCTCTGTCTCCCAGGCCGACCCTTCTCATCTCCCCTCTCACCCAGCTCTCTTTCGCAACCTTACCTCCCCATTCCTCCCCGTCGTAACGCAATCTACGCAATCTACAGTGGTGCGTTCCTCTTCCAGTAATTCCGAAGGAGCTATTCGTGATCGTTCCTCCACTCCTTTGAGCTACGCGGCTTTCAGCCATCCCTTCAGCCATGCGCTCGTCTGCTCCTCCTGGTATCGCCTCGCGCGCCAATCGCGCTCAGCGATTCGCATCCGCGACGGCCGGCGACTCGACTCACGCACTCTACCCGTTCAGATCTCCGATTCCGTCTATCCGTCGCTCACGTCGCTGCATCTGGAAGCGCGGAGCCTGCGACTAGTGGACGACGCTTTCCTCGCGAGCCTCGCGACGCACTGTCGTCGCCTGACTCACTTGACGATTCACAGGATGTTGCACGGGGACGTTAGCGAAACGGGATTTATCGCGCTCGCTAAAGGTTGTACTCGTTTGGAACAGCTCCGCTTTCTGCACGGAACGAGCGCGTTCAGCCTGCCTCACTCCTTTCAGCTGCCATCGCTTACGCATCTGACAATCGCAAATTGCCTAAATCTCGCGTCGCTCCCTCCTAACATTGTCCAGGCTTTGCCAAGTCTTAGAGAGCTAGAGCTAGATGGTAGTACAACTCTCTGCTGCTTACCTCTTTCGTTGGCTGACCTTCCCGCCCTTCGCCGCCTGACATTGCGAGATCTATTTCGCCTGGCTGAGCTGCCCGCGAATATGGGGCAGCTGCCTCAGTTGCGCGAGCTAGAGTTGGATTGGTTGATATCTCTCCGTCGTCTCCCCGACTCGCTGGGGCAGTTGTCAACACTTGAAAGGCTTGTGATCCGTCGGTGCCCGCCCCTGGCTCTGCCAGGAGGCTTGGACCAGCTGCCACGATTGAAGGTGATTATAACAAGCTGAAGCTGTAGGAGTTGCCAAGTAGTAGGGGTGATAACATCCATACATTTTGTACATTTCTGTTTCTTACTCAGCAATATTTTGTACAGTTTTATAGGAAAAAAACATTTTTTTATATAGCATGCTATATGGTTCCCTCAAAAACAAAATATAATTTGGTGCAAAACAGGTAGCTTCTAGAAATCCCTAAAGCTAAGCCGAACATCCTCGTCTATGCCTCGTCCCCTTCCCCGCCCTCTCCCTCGCCCACCTCTTCCCCTTCCCCTCCCACAGCCCCTCCCTCGCCGCCCGTAAAACACTCGGCCATGCTTCATCTCCAACAATGACAGTAACAACTCGTCGCACAACACACACCCGCGATGCACTGTAGCACCGCCTGGTAATGGCGAGGCATCCTTGTGAAAATCCACTTCAATTATCCGGGCAGATCCGCACTCAGGGCACCAACCACCCTCCTCACCCTCCTGCCCCTGCTGCCCCTGCTGCCCCTGCTTTCCCTGCTGCTGCGCTTTTAGCAAAGTGCCGGAAGAACCGAATGGGAACATGGGTACCACTGCCATCCTGTGAACATTGGCTTTTATGAAAACAACGCAGCTGCAGCGGTTGCAATCTAGCCTCCACTTAGGAGCACTTACAGGGTCCAGGACCAGAGTTCCTTCACACTCAGGGCAGGGACACACGCCCATGCTCACCAGCGAATGACGGCAAGACACGTGGCGGCAACTTGTGCAGGCCATGCCAGAGAAGACTGACGAGCCTGTCCTGGAGGAGGCTTGGGAGGTAGGTCCAGGAGCAGGCTCGGCAGCAGGTTTAGAGGTAGTGGCAGCGGGGGTGGCTGGCTTTCCCAGGTCTTCAAAAGGAGGATGGTTGTAGCAGTACGGGCAGAGAGGAAACGTTTTTCCCTCGGGTCCGGGCAGAGAGTAAAGAACCAGTTCATAGTTGTCAAGCGGGCAGGTGAGCTCTTTGTAGAGCTGTGAAGAGAAGAAAATAAAAAGTAGGGAGTTGATTAGTTAATGTATGACGCAGTTTTGAGGCGTGCCAACCCTTGACAAGTTAGAGGTGGCCGACAAATAGTATTACCTTATACCTCTGCCACTCCTCTGTGCCTGCCACTCCCCTCACCTTGATAGCACCATTCTGAGGGAGATTAAAAACGTCTTCACAGGTGGGGCAGAACAGGCGTGTGGGTTTCAGAGGCACGAAGCGCATGAACCGCCCACACTTGCCGCAGCGACCCATGGGCTTTCCCGAGGCGGCGAGAGGGGAGAAGTGCGCTTCGAACAGCGAATCCATGCGAGCGATCTGGGAGAGAAAAGGGATAAAAGAGGGAGCAAAGGGTGAATTGAGGTGTTTTAGACGTGGACTTCAACAGCTCTTGCCACAGCGACCCATGGGCTTGCCAGAGGCAGCGAGAGGGGAGAAATGTGCCTCGAAGAGGGAGTCCATGCGAACGATCTGGACGAGAGAGGGAAGAACGGGGGCAGCAGAGAGGGGGATTGTGGTGAGTTTAAAGGAGTGGGCTCCAAAGGGCACTTGCCGCACCGACCCATGGGCTTGCCAGAGGTGGCAGGAGGGGAGAAGTGCGCCTCAAAGAGGGAGTCCATGCGAGCAATCTGGACGAGAAGGGGAAGAAAAGAGGCAGTGAAGGGGATATTGGACGTTTTTGGAGTCAATTCCAAGGGCTCTTGCTGCACCGACCCATGGGCTTGCCAGCGGCGGCAAGAGGGGAGAAGTGGGATTCAAACAGCGAATCCATGCGAGCGATCTGGAAGAGTGTAGGCGAAGATGTGGCATTGGAAAAGAATCATGATGTTGGGTTGTGTGGTGTGGACTCATTTAACACTTGTTGCACCGAACCATGGCCTTGCCGAGGCGGAAAATTGAGCTTCAAACCGAGAAGAGGGATCTGAAAGAGGGGGGGAATCAAGGGGGCAGGAAAAGGGGAATTGAGGCGTTTTTTGAATTGAATTCCATTCCAACGTCACCACCACCCTGCCATGGTCCGCCTTGCATGTTGACATGTCACATGGCTCAGATCAGAGATTGCCCACCTGAAGAACCATTACACCCACATGGCTGACAATTTGGATTTCTAAACAAACTGCTGCAGGATGGGCGTCACCACCTTGCCATGGTGCACCCTTGTGTCGTTGTACGGTGCATAACTGAACAACCATCACACACAACCACCTGACTCACGAAACATTCACCTGGCTGACGAAGTATTTGAATATCTAATAAAACTGCCGCAGGATGAGCGTCACCACCCTGCCATGGTCCGCCTTGCCCTTTATTTTGGCACGTCTCGTGATTCACTCACAGGATGCTCGTAACTCAACTAAACAACCTGTTAGTGTTAGCCCTCAATCTCACACTTTGTACTTTATATTTTCTATATCCTAGAGTAGTGTAGTTTGCACTTTGTGTTTGGTTGGGTGTACACCTACATCCCAACCAAACCCAAATGTAATCTCCAAAGCAATCTCCAACCCACCAATTGGAGATTGCCTTGGGATTACCCCCAATCCCTAGGGATTGCCCCCGATTCCCTTCCCCACCCATTCCTTGCCCTTCTTGGATGTACTTAAAGAGCTTCAAGCTCATTACTAATGTATCAGTTCTAAGCCTAAGTTCTGACATGGTACCAGAGCTCTTCAACCGCACACGCGGATCGTGATCCTCTTATCTTTGCGGATGCTCGTCTCGCAAACCTCGGCGTAGCCACCTTCAATCTCGTCGCCGGTGATTCGCGACATTCGTGGGCGGAAATTCTCCCGCACCACCTTCCCGTCAATTTCGACGACATCTACCTTATTTCTGGTAAGCGCATCGTCAGCGCCGTAACCTATCGCTCCTTTTCGTCGAACGTCATCGTGTCATCTCTTCTCCTCGTCGGGCCGTCGCCCCTCGCCCCGCAGCTTCTCGTCGGGCCGCCGCCCGTCGCCCCGCAGCTCCTCGTCGGGCCGCGGCCCGTCGCCCCGCAGCTTCTCGTCGGGCCGCCGCCCGTCGCCCCGCAGCTCCTCGTCGGGCCGTCGCCCCTCGCCCCGCAGCTTCTCGTCGGGCCGCCGCCCGTCGCCCCGCAGCTCCTCGTCGGGCCGCGGCCCGTCGCCCCGCAGCTTCTCGTCGGGCCGCCGCCCGTCGCCCTGCAGCGTCACCTTCGGGCTGCCGCCCGTCGCCCCGCATCTGCACTTCTACCCCCATCCCCCCTTCCCGCAGCTGAACAGGTGCAGCAGCGCAGCCGAGCAGCAGCGTAGCCGTGAAGCAGAGCAGCCGTGTAGCCGCGAAGCTGAGGGTGGTGTGTGGGGGGGTGTGTGGGAATAGGGTTAGTTTTACGGAAATCGGCCGATTTAACCTAATTTCGGCGGCCTGAAAAATCCTTCTACGAGGCATCCTGACGCGGTCGACATTGACGATTTTTGCTATTTGGATCCGTCGGATTTCGAAGTTCCTATCGGTGACTTAAGAGCGGCGCTTCGCGCGAGACACCAAGGGGTCTTCATTATGGCCTTCACCTCGTCCACCATGGCCAACCCCATCACCCCACTCCGCATTGAAGCCGATGGCTCTAGCTCCAACTTCAAAGCTTGGAGCTATGGGGTTGACAAGCACCTCCTGAGTCGTGACGTGCAGGGATTGGACCTCAAGGATGTCCTCCTCAACCGTGGCAAGGGAAAACAGCCCCCTCCCCCCCTTGAGCCGACTGAATCCACTAGTGATACTGACATGAGGGCGTACGAGGAAGCCGTTGAAAAGTACCGGAAATGGGAGAAGGCCGATGCTGCTATCATCAGCGTCTTCATCGCCTCCACCCCTCCCGAACTTGTCAACACGTTCCACAACTAACCTACCTCCAATGCCATCTGGAAGTATCTCCAGGATCGGTTCATGAACAAGACGGCGGTCGGAGTTGCCATTCTTATCCCCAGCATGTTTCAGATCCGACTTGAGGACTGCTCGGGAATGGCCGACTACATCGCCAAGGTGCAGACCATTCATGGCGAACTCAAGGAGCTGGGTATAGTCTTCCCCGAACAAGCCCCTGCAGCCGCCCTTCTTGTTGGTCTCACCTCGGCATATGAAGTCACGAGGAAGATGCTCCTCACGCTCTCTGCGGAAGACCTCACCTTTGCTAAGGTCTCCACCGCACTCCTCTCTGCCGAGAAAGACTCCACGGCTCAGGCCAAGGCTTACGCCATCCGCGCTCCCATGCCCCAAGCAAGTGTCGCAGCGGCCCTCGCCTCGGCGCCCTTCCAGCGCAACCGCTTCCCCCCGTGCACCTACGTCGTCAAATATGGCAACCGCAAGGGACAAGTGTGTGGTGGCACTAATCACCCCCTTGCGACGTGCTTCAAGAAGAAAGACGACGAATGGTACGCCGTCCACGGAGTAGACAAGAAGCCGCCAAACTGGATGCGCCCTCGTAAGGCAAACCTAGTTAAGGTCCAGGACCCCGCTTCAGCTAGTGCTAGTGATAATGTTCCTGCTGATGTGCGTATCAACCTCTTGTTCCCTGGCACTGCCATGATTAATGAAGCTACCCCTCAGTACATCGGCTCATCACAAGCACCACAATACATAGAGTTCACACTCGACAGCGGGGCCACTCACACTGTGCTCAAGGAGACACTCTCCTTCAAACCCTACGCAACACCCATTCCTCTCTTGGGAGCTGACTCAAGCTTCACCACTCTTGCCAAGGGTATATCCACAGTCCCGTGCCCCGCCTTCCTATCCGGCACTGTCACTGGCATGTGCGTGCCTTCACTACGCCACAATCTAGTGGCTCAAACGGAAATTCAGGACGCAGGGCTACGCACCATCTTCTCGGAGAACGAGGACTATTGCGACATCATCGATCCACTCACCAACAAGATCTTGGCCCGCTTCACCCTCAATAGCAGCAGCCTCTACACACTACGCGTCCCTCTCCCACAGGTGTCAACCACCCAAGCACAGGCTCCTATCACACCATGCTCATGTCGCAGCCTCTCCAACCCGACCATCCTTTACCCAATCGGCTCGGGCACCCAAATTTCCGCACGCTTGCTGATGGCCTCCAAGAAACTTCTTCTCGGCCTGCCAGCCGCACTTCCTCCACCACCTGACTCACCCGCTCCCACGTGCCTTGATTGCACCAAGAGCAAACTGCGCCAACAGCCCCATCCTGCCTCACCCACAGTCGCAGCAGCACCACTTGACCTAGTGCACATGGACGTCTGGGGCCCTGCCCCTGTTCCCGCACGAGGAGGCCATCGCTACTTCCTTGCTATCGTGGATGACCACTCCCGCTACGTCTCTGTTCATCTCCTCCACACCAAGGCTGAGGTTCCTGAGGTCATCATGGCGTGGGTCAAGCAGGCACAGACCACCTTTGACCGCAAGGTCAAGCGCCTTCACTCGGATGGGGGGGGTGAATTTTGCAACGACAAGCTCAAAGCCTTCTGCTCCTCAGAAGGCATCCAGCAAAAATTCACCCTTCCTGACAGCCCGCAGCAGAACGGCATAGCAGAGAGCCGCAACCACACCCTGGTGCAGATCACTCGGTGCCTCCTCAGCCATTCTAACGCTCCACTCTCCCTCTGGGGGTACGCCCTCTACCATGCCGCCCTCCTCTATAATCTTTACCCCCACCCGCATCTTCCCGACACCACTCCAACCACACTTTGGCTCGGGAAAACACCCATTGCCCGCTCTCTCCGCTTCTGGGGGTGCACCGCCTATGTCCTCCTCAACCCTCAGGCCAGGCGGCAGCGCGGTGGCAAACTCGGTCCCAATACCCAAACGTGCATCTACCTTGGGCACAACGCCGACTCCCCTGACTATATCTTCCTCAACCCCTCCACTCGACAGTTAGTCCGGAGCCGCGACGTTGTCTTTGATGAAACCCGCCCATTCTACTCCACCTCGGGACCGGATCCTCCCTCCGATCCACGCCCACCCACCTGGCTGACATAGTGCTTGAACTTTTCAAGGAACTGCTGCTGCACGAGCGTCACCACCCTGCCGTGGTCCGCATTGCTTCTTGAGTTGTCACGCCCCGTCATCCATTCATTCACAGGATATCCCCCTGACAAACCATCGCAACCACCCACCTGGCTGACAAAGTATTTGAACTTCTCGAAGAACTGCTGCAGCACGAGCGTCACCACCCTGCCATGGTCTGCCTTGCATATTGAAATGTCACACGTCCCATTAGCCATTCATCAAATTGCACCCAGGCCCCACACACCTGACTGACAAAGTATTTGAATTTCTCGAAACTGCTGCAGCACGAGCGTCACCACCCTGCCATGGTCCGCCTTGTAGCCTGATATGTTCCATGGTTCTGTTCAGAGGGTACCCGCATGAACAACCATAGCACCCACCCACCTGACTGACGAAGTATTTAAACTTTTCTGAGAACTGCTGCAGGACGAGGGTTACCACCCCGCCATGGTCCGCCATGCCCTGCGCGATCAGCGTGATCTGCTGCTCTATGAACCGTCGGATGTCCGGCAAGCAAAGGTCCGGATCGATCTGCTGGTACCCGCGCACTAGCGTGGTGCCGAGGGTGGTCGGCACGATCTTACGACCCGGTGCTACCTGGTGGGAAAGGGAAAAAAAGGGGGTGTTGTGGAGAAAGAGAGAATGAAGCGAGTGGCTGAGGAAGGGGCGGTGGGCAGTGGTGAAGTGTGTGTGTCGCACACGAGCGTGGTGCCGAGGGTGGTCGGTACAATCTTGCGACCAGGTGCCACCTGGTAAAGGAGATAGTGGGGGAAGGGAGAAGGGGAGAGAGAAAAAAAGACGTGAGCGGGTAGGAAGGAAGGAGCATTGAGCGGTACTGGTACCCGCGCACTAACGTGGTGCCAAGGGTGGTGGGTACAATCTTACGACCCGGTGCCACCTGACGGAGGGAGAGGAAGAGGGAAAGTGAGAGAAAGAGAAGGCTTACGGACAGGAACCAGCGCACAAGATGGTGGTGTCGAGGGTGGTGGGTACAATCTTACGACCCGGTGCCACCTGGTGGAGATGCGTGATGGAGGGGAAAAGAGAGAGAATTGAGAGATTGGAGGTGGTGGTACGTGTCGCGCTTGAGCATGGTACCCAGGGTGGTGCGCACAATCTTACGGACAGGTGCTACCTGATGGAAAGAGGAGAGAGGGAGAGGGGGGAAGAAGGAGAAGAGAATGTTCTCCTTGTGTGTGGGTACGATCCCGCAAGTCAGAGGCACGAACCAGTGCTCGAGTCTGGTACCCAGGGTGGTGGGCACAGTCTTACGGCCACGCGCTATCTGGTGGGAAGGAGGGAGAGTGGAGAGAATGGAGTGGGTGGGATTTGGGATGAAGGGGTGGTGGGAACAATCCGATTGCCGGCAGGCACAAGTGGAGAAGGTGTGGTTGGGGGTGGCGCTTGTGCAGCTGCTGGGGTCCAAGAAGCGCCAAAAGGACCAGATTGCACGCCTCACCACCAGAGTCTGTCGTGGAAGCACCTCTCCCTGCTTCCACATCTCATTCCCACCTTGGGGGCAGGGAGAGGTGCTTCCACAACAGACCTTGGTGGTGAGGCGAGCAATCTGGTCCTCGTGGCGCTTTTCGGACCCCAGCAGCTGCACGAGCGCCACCCCCAACCACACCTCCACTTTGCGCTCACAGATGTTGTTGATAGCAACAGCATTGCTATGCCTGTGCACGCAAATGGACGCGCCCGTGCCATTGCTACTATCCCAACCGCCCCTCTCCCACCCTCTCCCCCCATCTCCCCCCATCTCTCCCCATCTCTTCCCCTCTCCCCTCCTCTCCCCGCCCCCCCCAACCCCTCCCTACCTGCGCATAGTTCCGCTCGCAGATGTTGTTGATGTGGACGGGGATGGACGCATCAGTGCCGATGCGGGTCTTGATTCGATTAAAGACACACCCCAGTGCCCCCCACGCCCTCCCCACCTCTCCAATCTCGTATCGTATCTGAGCATAGTTCCGTTCACATATGTTATTGATGTGAACGGGGATGGACGCAACAGTGCCGATGCTACCACTCACCTTCCCTCCCCACTATCCGCGCCCACCACACGCAAAGTCAACCTCCCCTACCTGGGCGTAATTCCGTTCACAGATGTTGTTGATGTGAACGGGGACGGACGCATCAGTGCTCTCCTCCCCCCACCACTCCTCCTATGTCGTACGCACACACACTCACCCTACCTGCGCATAATTCCGCTCGCAGATGTTGTTGATGTGAACGGGGATGGACGCATCTGTGCCAATGCCGTGTCGCTCCATCAGCCCGATAAGCTCGCTCTCTGTCAGATAGTCAGGCGGAGAGGTACGGCCCTGTTTATAGGGAGTAAGAAGGGGTTCAGAGCGGTGGAGTGGAGTAGGTGGTGAAAAGGCAGAGCGATGCCAATGCCATGTCGCTCCATCAGCCCGATCAGCTCACTCGCAGTCAGGTAGTCCGGTGGGGACGTGCGGCCCTGTTTATAGGGAGTAAGAAGGGGTTCAGAGCGGTGGGGAAGGTGAGAAGGCCAAACACGTCGGTCATAGTGCCATGTCGCTCCATCAGCCCAATCAGCGCGCTCTCTGGAAGGTCAGGTAGTCTTGAGGGGACGTGCAGCCCTGAAGGTGGTCAGTGGGTGGTACAGGAGCGCACAGAGCGATTAAAAGCGGTGGCGCCAAGTGAGCTAGATGGGGCAAGTCACAGTGCCGTGTCACTCCATCAGCCCAATCAGCGCGCTCTCTGGAAGGTCAGGTAGTCTTGAGGGGACGTGCGGCCCTGAAGGTGGTCAGTGGGTGGTACAGGAGCACACAGAGCGATTAAAAGCGGTGGCGCCAAGTGAGCTAGATGGGGCAAGTCACAGTGCCGTGTCACTCCATCAGCCCAATCAGCGCGCTCTCTGGAAGGTCAGGTAGTCTTGAGGGGACGTGCGGCCCTGAAGGTGGTCAGTGGGTGGTACAGGAGCGCACAGAGCGATTAAAAGCGGTGGCGCCAAGTGAGCTAGATGGGGCAAGTCACAGTGCCATGTCGCTCCATCAGCCCAATCAGCGCGCTCTCTGGAAGGTCAGGTAGTCTTGAGGGGACTTGCGGCCCTGAAGGTGGTCAGTGGGTGGTACAGGAGCACACAGAGCGATTAAAAGCGGTGGCGCCAAGTGAGCTAGATGGGGCAAGTCACAGTGCCGTGTCACTCCATCAGGACAATCAGCGCGCTCTCTGGAAGGTCAGGTAGTCTTGAGGGGACTTGCGGCCCTGTGTGGATTGGTGTTTGATGGGGGTATCAGGGGGTTCAGAGCGGTGGGGAAGGTGAAAAAGTTAGAGGGTTCCGTCCCAGTGCCGTGTCGCTCCATCAGCCCCACCGAAGGAAGGGCGCCCCTCGTCTCCCACGGCCAGCCACGGCAGGACTGCCGTGAAGGGCAGCAACCGCGGGGATAGCCTGGTAACACCTCCACCTCTCCTCACCGCACCTCACCTCATAGAGCTCCACTGCCCCGAGGGGCAACGCCCTCCCCCTGCATGAATGTCAGGTGGGCCTCTTCTCCCACCGCCAGCCACGGCATGACTGTTAGCAGTGCAGGGCAGCAGCACAGGGGAGGGGCCTCACCTCATACAATTCAACTGCACTGAGCGCAACACTCTCCCCCTGCATTGAAGGCTGGAAGGCTCTCATCCCCCACCGCCAGCCATGGCATGACCGCAGTGAGCCCCGCGGATAGCAGCTTTCACAACACGTGCCCTCTGCTCTCACCTCATACAGCTCCACTGCGCTGAGGGCAACACTCTCCCCTTGCACGAAGGCTGGAAGGCCCTCATCCCCCACAGCCAGCCACGGCATGACTGCAGTGAATCCCGCGGATAGCAGCTTTCGTCCCGATGCTGAGAAGTGCTCCCCAGCCACTGAGAAGGTGACACGTGTCCTGGTGGGGAGGAGGAGGGGGCAGGAGGAAGGGTAAGTGACGAAGAGGGGAGGGCCAAAGATGGAGGAAGAGGGAAGGAGGGAAGAGAAAAGAGAGGAGAGAAGGTTGAAAAGAGCGGAGGGAGGGAGAACAAGAGGGAAACCGAGAAGTCGAACGAGCGAAGAGGGGAAAAAAAAAAAAAAAAAAAAAAAAAAAAAAAAAAAAAAAAAAAAAAACGAAAGGATGAGAAAACTAATTCCTATCCCAAGCTCCAAGAATCCTCGCACAATCCCGCAACTTCATCTCAAACATACTCACGTTGCGATCCGGCAATCCAGCTGACGCTCCCTACGAAGCGCCTCATTACAAGGTCATACAAGAGCGCCCTACGCATCCCTACACTTGATGTCCCCCTTCCCCTTTTCTCTTGACACCCAACGCTCACCTTGCAATCCGGCAGTCAGGGCTGAAGCTCCCTATAAAGTGCCTCGTTACAAGGTCATACAGCCGCCACGCGTCCCCACCGCCCAGCTCGCCCTCGTCCGCAGTGCGCATGGGTGTGATGGGCGGGTGGTCTCCTTCGTCTTTTCCCGGCCTGGGCGGCATGGGCCCGAGCTGTAGCAGTGATTGCACGTACTCCCCCCATATGGGGTGCCGTGACTGTATCAAAGGGGCTTCTTTATAGTCAAAGGAGGAGGGGTAGGCTGTTGATTCCGTGCGAGGGTAGCTGGAAAGGGGAGGGGAGAGGGACAGGGGGACAGTTGGTCAGAGAAGGCGGGCAGAGGACGAGGGGCAAGGGGGTTAGGTGGCATGAGAGTGCACATACTCCCCCCATATGGAATGGCGTACTGAGAGGGCATCTTTATAATCAAAGGAGGCGGGGTAGGTATTGGATTCGGTGCGAGGGTATAGCTGGGAACGTATCGGGGAGAGGGGGAAGGGGACAATGGCGAAGAGTGAAAGAGAAGGGGAGGTTGCGATGCAAGGAAGCTATTTTTAAGGCACGTCAGAAGTTGCGTTGCAAAGGATGTCTTTTGAGAATTCTCAAAAAACACCTGTAATCCAAAGGTCGTCCTCTGCAAAAGAGCGTCTTTATAGTCCCTGGCAATCCCTGCTTTCTTGTGCCTGCCCTACCGAGCCTGCTGGTTTGATAATGTGTCCTTGCCTTGCCTGCAGCATATGTCCGCCTTGCCTTGCCTGTCTGGTTGTTCACTGCCCTAGGTCTGTCTTTGTACCTGCTCTTGCCATGCTTGTAACTCTTTATAGTCAAAAGAGGCAGGGTAGGATGTCGACTTGGTGCGAGGATAGCTTGGACGGGCAGAGGAAGAGGGCAGGTGGTGGATCGTTAGAAAAGAGGGAAGATGATATAAAAGAGTGGCAGAGGAGCTGGTGCATGCGGAGGAGCGGAACGAGGCAATGCGTCAGCTGATGGTGCGTGCGAAGCAGCGAAAGGAAGCAATGCGTCAGCTAGTGGTGGATGCAGAGCAGCGGAAAGAGGCAGTGCGTCAGCTGGTGGTGCATGCGGAGCAGCGAAAAGAGGCAGTGCGTCAGCTAGTGGTGCATGCGGAGCAGCGAAAAGAGGCAGTGCGTCAACTGGTGGTGCATGCGGAGCAGCGAAAAGAGGCAGTGCGTCAGCTGGTGGTGTATGCGGAGCAGCGAAAAGAGGCAGTGCGTCAACTGGTGGTGCATGCGGAGCAGCGAAAAGAGGCAGTGCGTCAGCTGGTGGTGCATGCGGAGCAGCGAAAAGAGGCAGTGCGTCAGCTAGTGGTGCATGCGAAGCAGCGAAAAGAGGCAGTGCGTCAACTGGTGGTGCATGCGGAGCAGTGGAAAGAGGCAGTGCGTCAGCTGGTGGTGCATGCGGAGCAGCGAAAAGAGGCAGTGCGTCAGCTGGTGGTGCATGCGGAGCAGCGGAAAGAGGCAATGCGTGCGGAGCAACGGGAGGAGGCAGTGTGTCAGTTGGTGGTGCATGCGGAGCAACGGGAGGAGGCAGTGCGTCAGCTGGTGGTGCATGCGGAGCAACGGGAGGAGGCAGTGTGTCAGCTGGTGGTGCATGCGGAGCAACGGGAGGAGGCAGTGCGTCAGCTGGTGGTGCATGCGGAGCAGCGGGAGGAGGCAGTGCGTCAGCTGGTGGTTGTGTTTTGGCTTGACTCAAAACAGTTGTGTTTTGGCTTGACTCAAAACAGTTGTGTTTTGGCTTGACTTAAAACAGTTGTGTTTTGGCTTGACTCAAAACAGTTGTGTTTTGGCTTGACTCAAAACAGTTGTGTTTTGGCTTGACTCAAAACAGTTGTGTTTTGGCTTGACTCAGAACAGTTGTGTTTTGAGTCGACTCAAAACACATCCAGCCAGAGCACGAGGGATAAGAACAAGAAGGCTCGACAGTTTGAACAAGACACAACTGCCAGAACTTTACCCACCTTCGAAGCAGATGTTCTCGCCCTCCCTGTCACAGTCCAGCCAGAGCACGAGGGCACGAGGGTGCGGGAGGACGAGGGTGTGACACTTTAAGTGCAATATTCATTTCGTTTCAACACCTCACCCTCTTAAGGCGCCTACAAAACCTCACCCACCTTCGAAGCAGATGTTCTCGCCCTCCCTGTCACAGTCTAACCACAGCACGAGGGCATCACACCCCTTGGCCTCCGTCTGCAGGTGCTTGCACACATGCGCCTGTGCAGTACCGCACAGCACCGCACAACAACGGGCCACACCGGAAGGAAGCGCACAGCAGATAGCAAGGGTGGGGGAGAGTTGCATGAAGAAGCACAGCAGAAAGGAAATAATAAGGGACGAGCGATCCGATGACAGGGATCCGATGACAGGGATCCGATGAGAGGGATCCGATGACAGGGACAAGGAAGTCGACCACCAACCCTTGAAACGCACTCTCTCACACACACACCCAATCCTAGAACTGCACCCAATCAAACCCAGACTTGAGATTGTCATATCTTGCCTCTAGAGTCATGTTGCGTTGCACTTTGACCCACTCTAGGATCGAAACCCACCGGAACTTGACTGTAGGCTCGGCTACAGGTGCCGCACCTTGGGATTGGATTCGGTTTTGATGGTAGGGGCAGTGAAGAGTGATGCCGGGTCTGTGGCGTCCCAGCTCTGGTAGGTGGGTGGGAAGTCGATGCTGGGGGGGGGGGTGAGGAGAGAGATGGGGTGTGGGGGAGTGGGGGGCAGGGGGAAGAAGGGAGGGGAAAGGATGGGATGGGAGAAGTGGCAGTGAAGCACCTTGGGATTGGACTCTGTGATTCGGTTTTGATGGTGGGGGCAGTGAAGAGTGATGCCGGGTCAGTGGCGTCCCAGCTCTGATAGCTGGGGGGGAAGTCGATGCTGGGGCGGAAAGGGAGAGGGGGTGGGGGAGAGACAAGGGGTAAACATAGGTCAGTCAATGGCATCCCAGCTCTGATAGCTGGGGGGAAGTCAATGCTGGGGGGGGAAGAGAAGGGGGAACAAGGGGTAAACATAGGTTAGTCAATGCAATGGCATCCCAGCTCTGATAGTGGGGGGGGACGTCAGGGTTGGACAGGCAGGAAGGGGATGAGCAGTGGGTGACGAGTTGAGTTGGAGACAGCTTGTGTTCTTATATTGAAAAAAAACCCTTGTGTTGTGTTGTGATTATACTGAGCCCACATACGCACATGACCGTCAACGGACGTAACTCTAAACCAAAATGATGAGCTGGTGTGCTTATTTTGTGTGTGCGTGTGTGTGTGCGTGCGTGCGTGTGTGCGTGGGTGTGTGTGGGCGTGTGCGCGCGTGCGTATGTGCGTGTGTGTGTGTGTGTGTATGTGTGTGTGTGTGTGTGTATGTGTGTCTGTGTGTGTGTGTGTGTATGTGTGTACGTCCGTGTGTGAGTGTGTGTGTGTGTGAGAGAGAGAGAATGAGATGGGAGGAAGGCCTTAGCACTCAGCCCTCTTCCTCTTCCCTCTGCCCTCTTCCTCTGAGCCTATTTAAGGCCCCTCTGTGCCTTCTCTGCTTCATTATTTCGTGTGTGTTTCATTTTCGGCTGGTGGCAAGACACAACGCGAAGGATCATCTTCTAAAGGAGTACACACACACATCTCCAGCAAGGGAGCAAGGAAACAACAAGAGGAGCGGCATGCAGTTCTACACGAGGCGGAAGCCTACATCGTGTACGTCTCCGCCCCCTCCACCTCAAGCATCGAGCGCATGCACGCCGACACCGCAAGGAGGAGCTGCGCTGACGAATGAAGCGTGTCTACCGGGGTCCCAACGCGAGCAGCCCCCACAAGATCCACCACGTGGCGGGGGAAGGTACGCGCTAAGGGCGCTACCCCGGCGGGCGCTTCCGACACGGGTGCCAAAGGCGACTTGAGAGATTCTGCCAAAGACACGCAGGATCCTCGGGACCCTGGAGCGTAACTGCTCGGAAAGTTACGCGTGGCCCCACACACCGCCAGTTGCATGTTCGCCACCACCTCGCACGCCTCCGCCATATTCAGAATCCGGCACATGGTCAGCATGGGGTCTCTCCCCGCGTGTGTGGGGGGAGGTGCAGTCGGGGCTTCGCGCGGAAACGCCGTCGGCCAGCCAGGTGTCCGGCCAACAGAGAAGTGCTGCGCGGAGAAGCCCGGGACCTGACGAGGGGTGCGAAACTGAGCCCTCCCCTCCCGCGCGGGCCGATATTCGCGCAGCGTCGGCGCGCGCAGAGGAGCCACCTGGCCAGGGTCCGAGGCGAGGGGAGGACCGTTGGTCACAGCAATGTGTACGTGAGTCTCCTCCCCACTCGCCCGCGCCTGCCGCACCACTTCCGCAAACGCATTCGTGGCCCGATCGAGGGCAGGATCCTGCCCGCGACCATTACCGCCACGCCCACCGCCATTCCGCCGGCCCCGTCGGCTTCCGGAACCGGCCGAGTGCGGACGCGGGGGGGACTGCTCGCGGCGACCCGAATCCCAGCGACGCCCAGGCGACCCCCTCCCCCGCGTCGCCGGAGATCGCCGCGGAGAGCGTTGCGCGGGGGATCGCGCTCGGGGTGAGCGCTGGCCTGCCCGACCACGAGGGGATTGGTGGCGAGGAGAGCGATGGCCTGCAGGGGACAGCTGATCGCCAGCACCGTCCCGGTGATTTTTGCGACGCTCTGGGGAGCGGCGGCGAGGAGATTGCTGCCACGAGTACTCCGACGAGGGGGGCTGAGGAACACGTCGAAGAGGAAGAGACAGCCCGCGCTCCAGGCGGGGCACAGGCTCAGACGCGGAGGGGCGCGCAGCAGCATGAGGACGAGGAGCAGCAAGCCCCTGAGCTCGGGGCGGGTCAAGCCGTGCGCTCTCCGCAGTACTCTCCTGCGCGCGATCGCGACCCGCGGTTGGGTCCATTACGCCGGAGCACGGAGCCACGGACGCCAGCAGGCCGCCAAAGACGGGGCCGTGGTTCTACCTCCGCGCCTCAGCCAGCACGCCGCGACGCAGCGGCAGGCACGACGCCACGGATTAGAGGTGGGAGACGAGGCGGACGCAGAGGAGGCGTCATAGTTCAACGACGGGGGGCTAGTAGCTTCGCGAGGGCCGCTCACCGGATACTGCGGGGGAGGGCTGGAGATGGAGAAGAGTCGAGTGATGAAAACTCCGTGGGTGACCCACTATTTAACCCTGAAAGAGAGGGGAGTTCTAGTCCCTCTCCCCAGGTGGACGAGGAAGAGGTTGGGCCATCACCAACTGTGAGCCGAAACCCAACCCTCGGCCGAGCCGCATCTGCAATTCGAATTGGGAGACAAATTCGAGCCGCGGGGGGAAATCGGAGCGCGTCAAATGTTGGGGATATTCCCCCCTCAGCCAATCAACACCCACCTGACCCCGCCACTCGCCAACCACTCCTCAGCGCTGGCGACTTGGCAGCCCGCCAGGATCGTTTCGCTGACATCGCAACCTGGGACCTCGCCCCCCTTCGCGACAGCAGGCAACCACCGCTAGCCCGCCACCCACCTCGCACACTCCGTGATTCCTTCGCAGCCTGCCTCCTGACCCCACTGTTACACCTCGCAAGTGACCCTGACTCACCCGCCGGTTGGAGACTGCTCATGTTCCTCCCGCGCAACCTGCTGCGCACTTCGTCAGCCAAGCGCCCAGACTGGCCCGCGCTGGGTGCCAGACTAATCCGTTTCCGCCAGGGCCTGTGGCGAAGCCTGTACGAAGAGGCAGTCGATTCAATTTCAACGCCGCCTCAGCCCCGCCACGTGCCAGACACCACCGGCATCCTAGCAAGGGCTGAGGGTTTGGCCAAGCGGGGAAACTTAGCCAAGTCCCTCCAATCACTCACCGCCACGCCGGTCTCAACCCCATCCTCGGATGTGCTCGATGCACTATCAGCCAGGCACCCCCAAGCGCGCCAAGCCATCCCTGACTGGGTGGGGAACTTTGGCACAAACAGCCCCCCGTCAATCCCCCCACGCAACTTCAGACGCATCCTCGCCAAGTGTCCGAATGGGGTGGACGCTGGTCCCTCAAGCACTAACTTCGAACACCTGAGGGATGCAGCCTTAGGAAATGCAGACGTCTTCACACAGCTGCATGCCCTTACGAATACAGCTCTAGCCGGGAAACTGAGCACGGCAGCGGCAGAGCTCCTCACTGCGTCACGCCTACTACCTTTCGCGAAGCCGCACGGGGGAACTAGGCCGATAGCAGTAGGTGAATGCCTACTACGGCTAGTCGCCAAGGCGGCCTTATTCCTGGCGGCCGACAGAGCGCGGGACCACTTCGCGCCACTACAGTTTGGCGTGGCAGTAGCAGGAGGCATCGAAGCAGCAGTACACACAGCAAGAACGTACCTGGAGGAGAACGAGGGGGCAGTGGCGCTGCAAATCGATTTAGCGAACGCATTTAACGCAGTCGAGCGCGCGGCGGTGTTCGAGGGCCTTAAGGGGACCACTCTGGAGTTCATGGTGCCCCTGGTGCGGTTGACATACGGTGCCCCCTCGGCGCTTCACCTCGACCATGAGTTCCAGGCTACCCCGTTGCTGTCCGCGCGAGGTGTCCGCCAAGGGGACCCGCTCGGTCCTCTTCTCTTCGCCGCCAGCATTCAACCCTGCCTCGTAGCGGCGGCGGCGGCACACCCAGAAGTTGTCATCCTCGCTTATGCGGACGACATCACCCTCTTGGGCGATGCAGCGGCGTGCACGGAGGCATTCACTCACCTCACCGCCGCCCTTCTCACTCTTGGCCTGGAACACAATCCTGCGAAGTGCGCAGCGTGGTCGGCTGCCCGCGTGGAGCCCGTGTCTCTGCCCCAGCACGTGCCCTTCTCGGCGGACGGGATCCGAGTCCTGGGCAGCCCCATCGGCCCGCAGGCAGGATGCGCGGCGATGGTACAGGAGCGCCTGACAGCAGCAGCAGAGCCCTTACCGCTCCTGTCCCAGATGGACCCACAGCTGTGCCTGCTGCTCCTCACACGGTGCGTGAGCCGCCGCGCCTCCTACCTCGTCAGAACTACGCCTTTGGAGGTGCTGCCAGCGGAAACATGGTCGGCCTGGGGAGAGCAGTTGCTGCACACATACCTGTCGGCGGCACACACAACGGTTCCCAGGGAGGGAGCTGAGCGGGGGAGAATCTGGTGGCAAGCAGCTCTCCCCGTGACATTAGGCGGCCTCGGCATCACCAACCCTGCGACGGAGGGCGGGTTTGCATACCTGGCGTCAGTCGTCTCCTCCGCCCATCTGCTGCGCTCGCTTGGCGACACGGTCCACCCCGCTGTCGCCCATATCCTGCCGCTGATGGACGCAGATGCGGACTCACGCTCCGCCTTACCAAGACGCCTCGCCGCGGCTGAAGCAGAACTGCCACCTGATGGACTGGAAGCACTAGCGGTCGGCCGGCGTGACCCCAACGGTCCAAAGCTGCAGCAGGCACTGTCGCTTGCCGTGCACACAGCTCGGTACATTGAACTGAACCCGCTCACTGGCCACACGCAGCGCCTGCAGTCCCTCCTCGGGCCCGGGGCAGGGGATTGGCTGCTAGCCCTCCCTCTGCCCCTCAGTCTTCCGCAACTGCCCCTGACTCTCCTCCAGTCGCCCCTGACCTGAGTGCTGCCCAGGGGCAGTTGGAAGGGCTGCTGGGCAGCACTTAAGGGGAGCTCTGTGTGTTTATGCATGTGTGCGCCGATAACAGTACCAACTCTCCGATGTCATCCCACCCATTCTCCCATCACATTCTTCATTTGGTGCTTCCAATCTATGCCTGAAGCTGCTGGCCACAGCAGCAGCAAGGAACCGCTTCAGGGCCAACCCCTTGGCGAAATCCGCCAAGAAGATGGCCTGCCAGTGCTGGGCAGTGCAGTGGCACTCCAGCGCTGGCAGTGGCACTCCAGCGCTCCCAGGCGAACGCCCTGCACACCAAGGCCAGGGCGGCGCACCCCCATATGGCAGCAAACCTATGGGCGCTGCACATGGGGAACATCCTCCACACGCTGGAGAGGTAGAGGGAATCTCCACGTGTAGAAAGTGAGTTTTTGAGACATCTCAAAAACTTCACTTTCTACCGGGGGTGGCATGGGGGGTAAACTGGGCTTGGATTAAGGCACCGGATGATATTGCATGTTTTGTACCCTGTTTAAATCAATACAAATGACCGTTTGAGAGAGAGAGAGAGACAATGTCAACTCAAGCCCACCTGAGCACATGGCCCGTAACAGGCATGACTCTGTACGGAGCAGGTAAGTTGAAGCTAGTTGAGTGCTTATATTGAAGGAAACTTGTGTATCGAGCGCACCTCAGCACGTGGCCAATGACAGACGTGATTCTAAAGCGAGCTGGGCCTCCTCGAAAGTCGCCGTTGAACTCGTGCACGTCTAGCCAGGAGCGCCGGGAAGCCATCTGGGGGAGTGGAGGGTGAGGGGAGTGCAGGAAGGAACACAATGCCTGTGTGAATGCAACTCGGGCATGCGCATTGTCGCTTTTGAGAATTCTCAAAAGCAACTCGGGCATGTGCATCGTGCTGGCAGGACAGCACAGGGGGCTGGGGCTCCTAAGAACACAAGAGCACAATGCCCATGTGAATGCAGCTCGGACACGCGCATTGTGCTGGAAGCACAGCAGCTCCTCGAAAGTCACCGTTGAACTCGTGCACGTCCAACCAGGAGCGCTGAGAGGTCATCTGGGAGAGTGGAGGGTGAGGGGAGGGGAGGAGAAGGGGGAGGCAGAGGGAGTCTGATAAATGGAGCTCGGGCATGTGCGGTGTGCCCCAGTCCGCGCAGTGAGCAGGCGCTCCTCTGACGTCAGCGTTGAACGCATGCACGCCCAGCCAGGAGTGACGATGAGAGGCCATCTGAGGAAGTGGAGTGGAGGGGAGGGGAGACGAGCGAGGGGAAAACGGGGGACTGTAGGGGCGAGGCATGGCGTTAAACCAGGGACGTGCACGCCCAGCGGGAAGGGGGAGGGAAAAGGGACAAGAGGAGAGGCGTGAACAGACAAGAAACAATGTTAATCAGCCAGCCAGCGACTCTGGTTCATTTCACACCTGGAGAAAAGTGAACGCGACATGCAAGCATCGTTCTTTAAGTCGACTCAAAACATGGCTCAATAGCATGGGTGCATGTGTGTGCTTCTCCTCACCTGCCCGTGCGACATGGCCTCACCTGCCAGTGCTTCTTATTTACCTGCCCGCGAATGCTTTCACCTGCCCGTGTTCTTATTTACCTGCCCGTGCGACATGACTTGAGCGATGGTGAGCGCGATGCTGGGCTTCTCTGCCACCTGGCAGGCGGGGATTGGATGTATTCAGGCGGATAAGTTGAGTGGGATGGAAAGGCAGTGGGGGTGAGAGTGACTGGGTGCGGGATGAGGCGATGAGCGGTTGCAGGGGTGAGGGGTTAAGTGCAAGAGAGGTCGAGGAGATGAGGGGAAGAGGGGAGGAATCGAGGGAGTGAGGGCGTGAGGTGGTGAGGGAACCAATGGAATGACTGGATGAGTGAATGAGAGGATAGGGGTCGCAGGTCGGCCAAAGGTGCTCAAGACGGAGGCGAAGGAGAGGAGACCGAAGGACTAGAAGACGTCGCTGAATAGATTCGGCAGAGAGGGATTTGATGGATTCTTTAGGCGCCTCAAAAACGATTCTTGAGGCGCCTCAAAAACAATCCCGGCCAGTCGGAGTGAGGGACTCGACCGCAGCGTTCAGGTAAATCAAGGTTGCTTGAGACTCTGGTTTTCATGCACCAGCCTTGTTTCATGCACCGTTCGTACACAAAGCGAGCGAGATGGGATGGCTCGTACCATGAGTACGAGCTGCGGCGCCATCTTGTGTCCGCTCCGAGGCTTCTCAGGGAAACGAGTGAGGCGACGCGCGTCGAGACTACTACGAGTGAATGGAGTCGCGTGAGGATTGCGAGAGAGGAGACGAGTAAGAGTACGTGAGAGGAAGTGAGACACGAGTAAGTAGGGTCGTGAGTGGGGTGGCGTCGGGACTACACGAACGCAGCGCTCGGCTTCAAGACGTCCCAACAGCTGGTCAAAGCGCCGGGCTCACGCGAAGCGCCTTCGGCGACTGTACCTATGTACATCCTAGCTGCGTATCGCGTTTCCCGCTAACTAGCACCCGAACCGCTTTCTGGTGGCGGTTTCTCGGTCGTGTGCCACATGTCTCCACCTGACAGCACATTTGCATGGCCTGCGAATTTCTACATATGCGCTTGTGCAAGCTTCGGTCAAAAAACTAACACTCGATCTGTAACCTATGAGATGAACAGTTGAGTCACTCTAAACGTCAATTTAAAGTGATTGCATTGTGTCAACTCATTATAGAGGCCATTTGGTGTACAAAAAGAACATGTACCTGCTAGAGCATGCAATCATGGGTATGAGAACGATTAGATTGTTCCAACGCAGTACAATCGAAATAAAAAATGGTCATCACTCATTTTTTTAATAGAATTATTGATACCGCATTAAACATCTCCAGCACCCCACCGCGATTGCTCCGAATTCCTAAAGCAGCGTAATCCAGTGAGCCCCCCTTCCTCTCAAGATTAGAATGCAACGTAATGGTTGGAATTAGGGTTTGCAAGGGTACAAATAGGAATCCTACAAAAGCTATACTCTCTAGCGAGTACCTCACTGCAGCCTATCATAACATTAACATTTGACACACCCCCATAGGCTAAGTGAGGGACATCAGAGCAAGCAAGGTGAAACAAACGGTCACAAGACCAGTCAAGGCAAGAAGCAAAGCAAGCTCAGGGTGGATCTCAAGGACACCACACAAATTCCTAGCACAAGCAAGCGGCCACAAGGCCAGTTCAAGAGTTCACTAGGATATAAATAGGAAAACACAACAAGCAGAGCAAGCGACAAGACTACAGCAATCGAGGGCCTACCTCAACAAGCCCCAACTGCACACAGAATCTGTGGTGGTCACCAAGCGCCAAGGCCTTGGTGAAGACGTCTGCAGTGTTGGCCTCTGAGGCCACAAAGTCCAGGCATGCCTGGCCGCGTCGCTGCAGCTCTCGCAGGAGGAAGTACCTCACGTCAATATGCTTCACTCTGCTCTCCAGTCGAGGCTCTCGACGCAGGAGGATCATGGCCTTGTTGTCAGCGTACAAGGTCGGTGCAGAGCGAGGCCGCTCACCAAGGTCGGCGAGCAAGAAGGTCAACCAGCGAAGCTCCTGCGCCGCCATGGCACCGGCGTAGATCTCTGCCTCTGCACTGGAAGTAGCCACAGACGACGACCGTGTAGACCTCCACGACACAGCCCCAGCTCCCAGACTGAAGCAGTAACCCTGAGTCGAGCGCTGAGTCTCCCCGTCGTCAGCGTAGGAAGAGTCACAGTGACCAGTCAACGCCACTGGCTGAGTCCCTCCAAGCACAAGCCCCATGCCTGATGTAGTCGCCAGGTACTTCGCCACCCTCACAGCAGCTGTCCAGTGGACAGGACGGTGTCTCCCAGTCGCAACAAAGCGAGAAAGTATGCTGAGGGGAAAGGCGAGGTCCGGCCGAGTACAATTCATCAGGTACATGAGGCAGCCCACCAGCTCTGTGTAGGAACCACTGGACTCAAATGGCTCGTCGGGAAAGGGGCCAGTGAGTCTGTGGTCAACAGCAAGAGGTGTGGGCTGTGTGGTGGAGAACTGGAAGTCGAACCGCCGAAGGACCTGCTGCACCATGTGTGACTGAGTCAGTGTGATGGTGCGAGCGGCTCTGTCCCTGGTGATCTGCAGGCCAAGGTAGCGCTGCAGTTCACCTAGGTCAGTGCACTTGTGTCTCTTTTGCAGTTCGGACTTCACCTAAGCCAGAGCTGCCCTGTCTGCTGTGGCAAAGACCAAGTCGTCGACGTACACTAGTGTAAAGAAAGGAGTGGAACCAGTGCGAACAAACAGCGACGGATCGACAGAGGAAGGACAAAACCCAAGGTCACGAAGCGTGGAGCGAAGAGTGTCGTGCCACTCACGGGGCGACTGGCGGAGACCGTAGACTGGCCGTCTCAGGCTCCACTGGGTCCCAGGTGGGAAGGTGTCAGTGAAGCCAGGAGGGTGGCGCAGCCAGATCTCCTCGTGTAGTCTGCCCTGGAGAAACGCAGTAGAGAAGTCAAGGGAGTGCAGCTCGTAGTCTCGCTGTGCTGCTACGTGCAGTAACACCCGAAGAGTAGTCATCTTCGGGGTCGGGGCGAAGGTCTAGAAGAAGTCAACTCCCTCACACTGACTGAAACCCCTAGCAACGTAGCGCGCCTTGAACACAGGCGGTGAACCAGGCGGCCGCTTCACCTTGAAGAGCCACATGCCATCGACTACGTTCGCCCTGGGAGGGGGAACTGCGTCGACGTAGGTGCCTGTGGATCTCCAAGACGCCAACTCTGAGTCAGCCGCTTTCCACTGAGAGGCCCACGCCCCTGACACTGCCTCGCGGTAAGTGCGAGGAGTCGGTATGTCAAGGGCGTCGGAGTCTCCCTCAGGGGAGAGCAGCATGGCACACACAGAGGGAGAAACGGCTGCCCAGTACTCCAGCTCAGACTCTCTGTCCTCTAGGACGTCACAGCCAAGGGCAAACTCACCCCCGACGGACAGAGGACGGTAGGGAGGAGCTGGCACAACACGGGTGGCGTAGTCAAGGCGGCTGGCGGCAGCAAACTCAGCGACAGCGGCAGTAAGAGCAGAGACAGACGACGGAGGGAAACGAGAGTCGGTGACAAGAGTGGCGAGGACACGTGCGGCAACAGGATGAACAGTGCGGTAGTAGTCAGTGATAGGAGTGGGGAGGGCTGGGAGAGAGGACGGAGGAGGAGACGGGAGAACGGACACAGGAGAAGGAGAACGACGACGAGACGTACAAAGGAGGGCAGTGTGGAGGTCAGTAACAGGGGACGAGTGACGAGCACGCGGAGGACAACGAGTGATCAAGTCGTGATGGACCGAAGGAGGAGGAGACTGAGGAGGAGGAGAAGACCAGACCGCCGGACGGTCGTCAGGAGGAGGCAACGGAGGACCCAAAACAGGAGGAGACTGGGAGCGGACAGGAGGAGAGGACGAAAAGCCAAGGGCCCGCAGACCACTCACAGGTGGGAACAACTGCCGCTCCAGAGGAAACTGCGGTGGCGGCTGCGGCTGCTGCGGCTGCTGCTGCTGCGGCTGCTGCTGCTGCTGCTGCTGCTGCTGCTGCTGCTGCAGCTGTTGCTGCTGCTGCCACTGCTGCTCTAGAAGGTCCAGCACCCGCAGCTCCTGCCGCTCCCTCTCCAACCGCTCCTGCTCCTCACGCTCACGCCGACGGGCAGCCTGGAGACGCGTGTCGTGGCGGTGGGGAGGCGGAGTGGACTCCGCAGAACCAGGGTCTCCAGCTCCAGTCTCCTCAGACCCAGCACCCCCAGAACCAACACCTCCAGTGTCAGTGCCTCCAGAACCAGCACCTCCGACTCCTGCACCCCCAGAAGCAGCACCCTCAGTGCCAGTACCTCCAGCTCCAGCACCCTGCGACCGAGCACCCCCAGACCAAGCACCTCCAGTGGCAGCCCCCCCAGCGCCAACACCCCCAGAGGCCGCAACCACCTGTCGCGGACGTGCCGAGGGCTACTGAGGGGACTGGGAGGAGGACTGTGGGGAGGGAGACGCGACCTGACGTGCGACTGACGGCAGAGGGGTAGCGTGAGACACACCAGACGGGGCAGGACCAGAGGGGGGCGGTGGTACCGGAGGAGCGGGGACAGGAGGAGGAGAGGGGGCGAGAAACAGGGGGGGAGGGGGTACCGGGAGACCTCGACAGGGGTACTGGGTGTAGTAGGACACGGACTCGTCGAACCAGACGTCACGGGAGTCGAGGAACTGGTGGAGGGGCGGGTGGTAGAAGGACCAGTCAGCAGAGTCGACCGGGAAACCAAGGAAGACACAGTCGACGGCGCGTGCCGAGAGCTTGTTCGTAGAGGTGTCGCGGACTTGCGCAAGGCAGCCCCAGACTCGAAAGGCCGACCCAACACCAGGGGAACCAGTTTAAAGACTGGTCGGTGAAACCTCGGGCCGCGAGACACGCGGCTGGAGGTTCAGCTGGTGTGCGGCGTAGCGAACCGCGTAGGGCCACAGAAAATGGGGCACACGGGCATGGATCATGGACGTGCGAGCGATGTCCATGACCAAGCCGATGCGGCGCTCACCAACCCCATTCTGCTGTGGGAACTCTGGCAGGGTCCAGGACTGTACAATACCCTGCTCGCCGCAGAATCCGCCGAGAATGCCGGAGCGAAACTCACCCCCACGGTCGGAGTGGAGACAACTGACTCGACGACCACGAGTGCCCTCAGTGGCTAGAAGCCACCTGATCAGCGTAGCAGTCACCTCGGACTTCTTCGCAAGAGGGAACACTGTGGTGTACCTGGAGTAGTGGTCGACGACCACCAGAAGGTAACGCTCCCTCCCAGACCCCTGCGTTGGGGCAGGGCCCCAGACGTCCAAGTGGAGAGTCTCGAAGGGAGCGGTGGCCGGACGAAGGGAGGAGGAGTGGGGAGTGGCGCGTAAGCGACCGGCGACGCACGGAGAGCAAGGAGGGGCAAGCGAGGGAGGGAGCGACGGGAAAGTGCGTGGGAGACCTGTGACAAGTCCCTGACTGAGCATGCCACGAAGGCGAGGGATCGACGGGTGGCCAAGGCGGTGGTGCCACAGGACGGTGCGGTGGGCGAGAGAGCGACAGGAGCAAGACGCAGCGACTGGACTGGACACAGCGACCGGACCGGACACGACTACCTGGCTCGACACAGCAACTGTACTGGGGACCAGGGCTGGAGGGGACGCAACGACCTGAGGGGAGGACGCGACCGGGGAGCGCTCGGTGTGGAGAACGTAGAGACCGGAGCGGGGCTCCCTGGTGAACGTGGCCAGAACAGCACCTGTGGTAGCGTCTGTACAGACTGCAGACCCCCCACCCCCCACGAAGGTAACCGTGATCCCCCTTTCCTGGAGGTATCCAACACCCACCAAGTTCCGAGTGAACGAGGGGATGTGGAGGCCGCGCAGGACACCAGAGGGGACCACAGGGCACGGGAGGGTAGTGGAGCTATGCGCAACGGCTGGTCCAGAGGTAGGATCAGCCAGAGCCACTGACACAGGAGTGAGGAGTGGCGTAAGGGTCGTGTGGTCGCGGAAGAAGCACTGAGACGCACCCGAGTCCAGCGTGAACGACAGAGAGGCCTCAGCCGGAGGGTCACCTGACCCAGTCGCTACACAAGCACCTAGAGCAGCAACACAAACACCTAAGCTAGACAGGCACAAGGCTACACTAGCAGGAGGCAAGCATGCTAAACTACGAACACGCGAGCACACAGATCCATCAGCACTAAAGTCAGCATCAACATACAAAGCATGCTGACGCGCATCGTCCATGGACAGATCAAAGACATCAATCTTACGGGCTAACAGACGAGACCAGCGAGGCGTGACCGCCAGAGGGCCCCAACGAGCCCCGTAGAGGTCGTCGAGGCGGTGGAAGCACCGCGCGGCAGAGTGGTCGTCGCGACCACAGAGACAGGGGCTGCCCGGCCCGGTGAGGCACCAGTGGGTGCAGGGGCCAGCGTCACGGCGAGGGGGGCGAGGGGCCCAGCTGGTAGAGCTGCTGCTGCGGCCGGTGCTCCCAGGGCCTCCCGGACCCCACTGCGGCGGGGGACCCCAGTGCTGCTGCGGACCCCACTGCAGCGGGGGCCCCCACTGCTGGAACTGCTGCGGTGCCTGCTGCTGCTGCTGTCCCTGCTGCTGCTGCTGTCCCTGCTGTGGCTGGTGCTGCTGTGGCTGCTGCTGCTGGGGGGCAACACCCCCACCGGTCGGGCCACCACCTGTGGGTGGACCTGTCTGTCCTGCACCTCCTCCAAGGCCCCCTCCCCCTGGTGCACCACCGCCGCTGCCGCCGCCGCCGCCTCCGCCACCACCGCCGCTCCCACCTCCACCGCCCCCTCCACCGCCGCCTCCTCCGCCCCCACCTCCCCCCTTCCCGCCCTTCTTGCCACTCTTGTCCCGTTTCTGCCAGTCTGCGGCAGAAACGGCAGCAGTGTCCTCAGAGACCGACACAGCAGCAGAGGCGCGGGTAGCGGTGAAAGTGGGAAGCTGAGGGGCGGCGCACCCCGCAAAGAGACGGGGGGCCACCGCATCAGTGGCGGAGGCAACGGTGAGGAGGCTGCTCTCGATGGTCCCGAGAGCAGTCTGAAGGAGGTCTATAGTGAGTTCAGTGGGGTGCTTCTGAAGAAGCGCGTCACGGGCAGTGGCAAGGCGGTCAGAGAGGCGGGTGACTAACCAGTGCACAGTGAGCCACATGGGGGGGGGAGCAACAAGGAGCTGTGCGTCGGTACAGGCCGAACGAAAACCGGCGTCAAGCGAGCGGAGGTGAGTCACTAGGTCGGAAACAGTCGCAAACGAGCCTAGGTCGGGAAACACGAACGGCATGAGGAGGCGACTGAGGGAGGCGGAGGAGGGGGTGGAATAGCGGGCAACAATAGCATCCCAAACCCCCTGTGCTGTCTCCACCTTGTCAAAGTGGGCGGCCTCAGTCGGGGGGAGAAGCTCCGACAGCGTGAGAGCGGCGGCAGCATCACGAGAGAGCCACACGTCCCGTGCCAGGACCCGACGCTCGTAGTCCGCCTGGGCCGTAGGAGTCGGCTCCGAGGCGGTCGGGAGGGCGGCGGGGGACGGGGGGGCCTTGAGGGCACCAGACGCGTGGGCCCACAGAGTGGCGCCGTCCTGACGCTGGCTGGTAAGGAAACGCGTGGTCTGGCGCTGCCAGGTACCGAACTCTATCGGGCGTCCCTCCGCATCGAAACGAAGGCGACGAGACTCCATAACGGAGGCCATGCTAGAGGCGGCCGGAGCTCGGCGGAGGCGGAGCTAAGAACGAGGAGGGAAGCCTAGGAGCGCCAGGTGTGGCGCGGTGTGAGACCGGCGGAGCTAGAGGCTAGGAGCACGGAGGGACCTAGTCTAGGCGTGAAACGGCGGAACTCCAGCTACATGCACTAGGGGCGAGGAACTAGGAGGAACACGGGTCTACCCTAGGTGGCCGGCGAAAGAAAGCGGCTGCCAGCCGCTGAGGGCGAGACCAGTGGCAAAAGAGGTGTCTAGGGCCCCGCGCGCAGGGCGGTAGTGGGGTTCGGGCTCGTGCCAATCGCGGGTGGGAACGGGCTAACGCGGAGGCGCGAGCCTAGGTGAGGGCGAGGGCACGGTGGGCTCGGGGGGAGGGCGCACGACGTTAGGAGAGGGCGGGGAGGAGGGTGCGTGACGGTAGGAAGGGGTGGGGAGGAGGGCGCGACGGTGAGAAGGGGCGGGGAGGAGGGCGCGACGGTAGGACAGGGGCGGGGATGGGAGGGCGACGCGACGGGCAGGGGAAAGGGAGGCGACGCGACGGGTAGGGGAAGGGGAGGCGAACCCGACGGGCAGGAGGAGGGGAGGCGACGCGACGGGCAGGGGAAGGGGGGGCGAACGCGACGGGCAGGAGGAGGGGAGGCGACGCGACGGGCAGGGGGAAGGGAGGCGACGCGACGGGCAGGGGAAGGGGAGGCGAACGCGACGGGCAGGAGGAGGGGAGGTGACGCGACGGGCAGGGGGAGAGGAGGCGACGCGACGGGCAGGGGAAGGGGAGGGGGGGGCGACGCGACGGGCAGGGGGAGGGGCCGGGCTAGGCATGCGTTGAGGGCGCGGAGGGTGCGGAGGGCACTAACGTGCGGAGGGCGCGGAGGGCACGAACGTGCGGAGGGCGCGGAGGGCACGGAGGGCACGAACGTGCGGAGGGCGCGGAGGGCACGGAGGGCACGGAGGGCGCTAAGGCGCGGAGGGCGCTAAGACGCGGAGGGCGCGTGGGCGCGGAGGGCGCTAGGGCTAGGCTAAGGCTAGGCTAGGGCTAAGGAACTCGAACCTACTATGATATCATCTCAAGAGTAGAATGCAACGGAATGGTTGGAATTAGGGTTTGCAAGGGTACAAATAGGAATCCTACAAAAGCTATACTCTCTAGGGAGTACCTCACTGCAGCCTATCATAACATTAACATTTGACACTTCCCCCCTCCTCCCATCCCTTGATTGAAGAGACAGAAAGGAAGTTCATTGCTCGGAAAATCGGGCGCAATACTGCACAAGCACAGCAGCAGGCGTGATATGGGCAAAAACATGCAAGGAGCCTAGCCTAGCCCAGCCTAGTGTGTCAAAGACAGCACGACACATCTGCCAAGGAGGGAGCCTCCTTGCTCTACTGCTTGACAAAGAGAGCGCGGTACAAGGGCGAGCCCTGCAGCAGGCAGGTGTATGGTATGTAACAATACACGCCTGCTGCTAGGAGCCTAGCTGCCTACTGCTTGACAAAGAGAGCGCGGTACATGGGCGAGCCCTGCAGCAGCACCACCACCTCCCTCTCGCTTGGCACCCCACTCCACTCCACCCAGGGATATGCAATTTCCGAACTGCCTGAGAAAACTCATCTCTTGATTGTGAAGAAACCTAGCTGGCTACTGCTTGACGAAGTGAGCACGATACATGGGTGAGCCCTGCAGCAGCACCACCACCTCCCTCTCACTCGGCATTCCCAGGGGGTTGTAATCCAGCCACCTTACTCCCGCCCCTACTCTGCCCTCCTCTGCACTCCCCTCCCCTGCAACCCCCTCCCCTGCACTCCCCTCCCCTGCAACCCCCTCCCCTGCGTTCCCCTCTTCTGCCCTCTCTCCACTTGCCAACTCCTGCCACACACTCCCCTCTCCTTCCTCCCAACTCACACCTCCTGCCGCAACAAAGTTGCTTGGAATAAACCTTGGCACACATTCACTGTCGTTCACACTCCGCACTCCCGCACTCTCACACTCCTCGGTCGCATTCCCCACTCCCTCACTCTCACTCTCACCCTCACTCTCCTCCCTCCCAACCTCACCTCTCCCACTGTCATCCCCACCCTCCAAGATCGTACCACCCCCCTCCCCTCCTCCCCTCCTGTAATCAGCAAACTGCCAGTACATGTCAGCAGCCACCTCTTCCACGTCAGACTCCACAAACACGTGTCCACCTGGCACCAACACCCGCCCAATCGCCTCGACCAATCCCCGCTGCACCACCCGCCGCTTCCTGTGCTTATTCTTAAAGTGTGGGTCAGGGCAGAGAATGGAAACGGCCACGAGTGGTCCCGGGTAGGTTGCCAGCACGGATTCGAGTGCTGACGTGGCGTTGGCGACGACGAAGTGCGCGTTGCGCAGCGCCAGCTGGCGGCGCCACGTGTCGGCGCGCTGCACAAGCTTGTCGCGGATCTCAAAGCCCAGGAAGTTGAGCGGCGGGGAGGGGAGGAACGACGGAGACGGTGCAGCTGCTGGTGATGGGTGTACTGATGTGGACGATCGTTCCAACCCCCCATTTGCCTCTGCTTCCACTCCTTGTGTCTCCCCTCCTCCCACCTCTCCTTCCTGCCCTCTTTCCTCCCCCCCTCGCAGCCTCTCGCGCCAGCGCCAGTCCCTCACAGCAAGCGCCAAAACCAGCCGCCCACTTGCCGACCCAACGTCCACCACCAGCGGAAGCGACGGGTCCTCATACACTGCCGCCCAGTCCACGGGCGGCGGCGGCGCCATTAGAGACGTCTTTAAGGGGTTCACGTGCTGCCGAACGCGCACCGGCAGCTGCGGATGGCCGTCCGCGAGTGGCGGGAGGCCGAGGGCGGCGAAGATCGCGTCGATTGACAGGCTGGCGCCTGCTGACGTGGCGGCAAGGGATTGGATCTGCGGCCACTGGGACGCACCGTGCGGGACGAGCGGGCGCGTGCGCCACTCGGACACGCCCCTAGGAGTTGACTCCGTTGATTCCGTTGACTCAGTTGCCTCCGCCTTTCTTGATTTTTTCTCTGCTCGTCTATTCCTGCGCTTGGCCCTCAGATTATCTCTCTCAGCTCCTCCTCCCACCCCATCGATTCCCTCGCCGTGCTCTCTACCGTTTCCCCCTTCCCGTCCCTCGTTCGCCGCCATTGTCACTGTCCCTTCCACACTTCCCCTCTCCTCAGCTCCCGTTGGGCGGGCACCTTTGTCGTTCTCTCCACTGGTAACCACCTCCGCGTCCTGCGCTGACGGCACAATAGCTGCGAGACTAATATGTGACGAACTAACCAGTCTAGACAGCATTGGATTCGACTGTCTGGTCAGAGGTAAGTTGGGAGTGAATGGAACTTGAAAAGCCTTCTTCGGGAGTCACGAAACTCGCAGCGAGCTGAGTTGCGAAACTCGCGGCTGGCTGAGAGGCTACGCGGTCCGTTGGGCGGATCGAACGTCTCGGGTCGCGGAGAGGCTAACGATCGCCACGTGGGCAGTTGGATGAGAAGAGATTGCGACGGCCTTATAACGGGGATACTACTCGCATTGCGGCATCGGAGGACAAGGGATGGTCTTGTTGCGGCTATCGAAGCCGCCGCGGCGAATCCCATGGCGAAAATGGAAATGCGGTTACTGCTGAAATGGTTACACTCGCGGCATAGCACTACCCCCGGCTTCCAATCCACTCCCTCCTTACGTGAGGCCTAAGCGCGAAAACACCTGTGTTACGCTGCCCACTCCGGCTGTAACGCTCAAGGACTTGTAGCGAGAGAAGCTAGCCGCTGCTGCGTCTAGGACGTGTCGCGCAGCGCGGATGGCTGCGGAAAAGACGGCGACGATGCAAGCGTGAAATGTTGTTATGCATTATGAGCTGAGTGCTAGGATTGTCGAGGTTTTAGGAGCAGGCAACAAAGTGGGCGAGGGGTTTGCGGAGGTTTACGGGATAATGTCGAGTACACAATGACTGGTGGTTTAGAGGGACAAGTACTGCAATGCAGTATTAAAATAAAATGTACACAACGGAGTTATAGTTTTTGACATAATGCCACGCCATCTCCAACAGGCACCTGCAAGAAGCAAGACGAGTGGAATCAATACTGGCGCAACAAGGAATTCGATCAGGCATGTGACAAGAGTAAGAACACACAATCACCATGCAGAATGGTACGAGAAAGTGATACAAACAAGCACGGGAAGTGCCACGGATTTCACACTCCATTCCACTTTCACTTACAATGCTATGATGGATGCGAGGATCATCACGAATGAATTTGTTGAAGGCCCTGAGGTATTCCGTCTTGCGGTCAGTCACCTGAGAGTAGAATATAGTTGCAAACAATAGTGTGCGTGCTTTTTATGCAGGGAAAACAAATGCCTTCCACCAATGAACCAGCACAACGGAAAAGAGCATCATGTCATCCTTTCATGTACATCTGAGTCTGTGAGCCGCGTTAAAAGCATTCTTCTTCTTGACATGCCATTAAAACGCCAGGAGGAGCACCAAACAGCAAGGAGGAGAGCAGCAGGGAGCAATGGGCATGCCCCATGAGGCCAGGTGGCCGAAGGAGCAAGAGTGACATTGACCACGGGCATGGGCATGGGCATGGGCATGGGCATGGGCATGGGCATGGGCATGGGCATGGGCATGGGCATGGGCATGGGCATGGGCATGGGCATGGCTCAAGTGCCATTGACATGTTGGCAGCTTTTCACCTGAGATCACAAGAGTTAGAAAACTTTTACACAGCAGATGAATTGATGAAATCACCTGGAGACTCACCTGAGGATCAGCCAGCTGGCCATGCCACAGCACGTTGTCAACCACCAGAAGTCCTCCCGGCCTCAACTGGAAGCAAGACGGGCATGTGTGAGGGAGGATAGCAGGGTTGCGATGAGGAATAATAGAATTATTCGGATATTTTGGATTATCGGTCTCATTGAGCATGTGATGCATTAGCAAAGTCATTAGCAGATTGGTAGCATGGATCCCATAGAGGCATGCATCATGCATGGAGACATATCCAGCTTCATGTGAGTTGGGGTGTTTGCGGGACGGGACAACTTCTGAGGCGCCTCAAAACCAGGTCAACGACATTAGCAGCTTGGTAGTATGGATCCCATAGAGGCATGCATGTATGGAGACACATCTAGCTCCATTGCGAATTGGGGTGTTTGTGGGACGGGACATGAGCCAGATTCGACAGGTGAGATTTGATTTGACACATCACCGAAATCCACAGCCAGGTCAACGACATCAATAGCGGCATGGTAACATAACATCCAATAGAGGCATGCATGGAATAGAACCATCTTTCCAGCAGACACGTGGTCATTAGAGTGTGCTCAAGGAGCCGATCCGCATCGGTCAGGGAATGGTACAAACTCGAGAAACAAATGGACGCGCATCTCAAGTGATTGCGTTGAGGCTCGAGTTAACTAACAATAGTCATGTTGAGGCGTGGAATCCATTAACAAAACTCGACTCACAAGGGTGCACAGCACAGCACCTCATAGTCTTCCCGGTACATTTGCTTTTTGGGTCAATCAGAAGTGGACTCACAAGGGTGAGCAGCAGCTCTTAGTATTCTCGGTACCTCCGCTTGTCCGCATCTCAAGTGATTGCAGCGAGGTTCTAGTTGTTCTGTTGAGGCGTGGCATAAACCCAGAAAATAAACCCAGAAAATAAACCCAGAAAACCGAACTCACAAGAGTGAGAAGCAGCTCGTAGTATTCTCGGTACATGCGCTTGTCCGCATCCAGAAAAGCAAAGTCAAAGCTGCAATGATCCGTGCAGAATCGGGACGGAGTGGGTGACTTTTGAGACGATTCTCAAGGTGTCCATGCATTAGTTGGGCAGTGACACACGGTGGTGGTAGTGGTGGTGGTGGTGGTGGTGGTGGTGGTGGTGGTGGTGGTGGTGGTGGTGGTGGTGGTGGTGGTGGTGGTGGTGGTGGTGGTGGTGGTGGTGGTGGTGGTGGTGGTGGTGGTGGTGGTGGTGGTGGTGGTGGTGGTGAAACCTTGACACAGAAGATTGCATTCGGAAAGACATATATATAAATAGACATATACATATATATAAACATTCAGAAACGAAAACATTCGAAGCTATCGGACCCCTAATAATGACGGTTATACACAATGCGTCCATGTGACTCCTCGCTGAGAAGAGGCACAGCTGGTTGCTGAGAACTCTCAAAACCAGCTAGCCACAGCTGTCCACGTAACTCGTCTCATGATGTGAAGTTGGTGGCAAACGGCTATGCCTCTGCTCTCACCTGCCCCCCTCTCACCTGCCCGCCTGCCCGCCTCTCACCTGCCTGCCTGCCCTTCCTCCAGCAGCTGCTGCAGCGTGTCCTGTGCCGGGCCTAACCGCGGGTCTACCTGGTGGTGTGTGGGGCGTGAAAGGGCAAAGGAAGGGAAGGGGAATGCAAAATCAGGGAAACGGGAAGCGCTGCAGCGTGTCCTGTGCCGGGCCTAACCGCGGGTCTACCTGGTGGTGTGGGGCGTGAAAGGGCAAAGGAAGGGAAGGGGAATGCAAAATCAGGGAAACGGGAAGCGCTGCAGCGTGTCCTGTCCCGGGCCTATCCGCGGGTCTACCTGGTGGTGTGTGGGGCGTGAAAGGGCAAAGGAAGGGAAGGGGAATGCAAAATCAGGGAAACGGGAAGCGCTGCAGCGTGTCCTGTGCCGGGCCTAACCGCGGGTCTACCTGGTGGTGTGGGGCGAGACGTGTGGGGGCAAGCAAGAGAAGGACGGAGGGAAGCAAGTGCGTGTTGGAGCAAAGGAAGAGGTTGCAGCTGCTGCAGAATGTCTTCTGCGACACCTGGCCGTGGGTCCAGTTTTTGGGTCGACTAAAAAGGAAGAGGTTGGAGCAAAGGAAGAGGTTGCAGCTGCTGCAGAATGTCCTTTGCGACACCTGTAAAATGTGAATTTTTGAGACGCTTCAAAAACGCAGAATGTCCTGTGCGACACCTGGCTGTGGGTCCACCTGGGGGCGTGTGGGCGATGGGATACACACCTTGTGCTTCACCCCTTGTTACAATCATCAATCACGCAGCAGCCGTCACTAGAGTCACGCATGCACACCTTGAGCTTTCACGGGGTATTCACTCGCTACAGCAGCCCCCGTTAGAGTCACATGCACGCACCTTGTGTTTCATGCCTGTCTTCTCATAGACCCGCTGCGCCACTGCAAACGTGTGCGGGACCCCTTGTTACAATCAATACAACATGAGCCCTCACTGAAGTCACACGCACCTTGTGCTTCACGCCTGCCTTCTCGTAGAACCGCTGGGCCACTGCAAACGTGTGCGGCACCCTCTCACACGCCACTAGAAGACCGTCTGCGGGGAGAGCGAGGGCGACTGAGAGGGAGGAGTAGCCCTGGGGAGAGACACAAGAGGGGGATGGTCGAGACACACAAAAGGTGAGGGCGAGAGTTTGTAGCACACCTCTCTGTTTTTTTTTTAGTCGACTCAAAAAGGGATTAAGCAAACGGGATAGCACACCACACCTATCCAGCACACCTCTCTGGATGTAGCTAGCTAGCACCAAACCGTAAGCACGAACAGGTTGAAACGTCTCAAAATGTTACCTTTATCACGAGAGCACACCTATCCAGCACACCTATGCAGCACACCTATGCAGCACACCTATGCAGCACACCTATGCAGCACACCTCTGTGGATGTAGCTAGCACCAAACCGTAAGCACGAACAGCCATGGAGCAGGGGGGAAGAGGAGGTGAGCGGGAGAGGGAAGGGGGCCAGGGAAGGGAAGGGGGAAAACCAAGCAACACATTGCAACAATTTGCAGCGGCACCGGTCCAAACACTCACCGTGTACACAACACACCCAGCTCAACGCATAAAGAGTTCCAGCTAAATGCAGCACTGCAGCACCGCAGCACCACAAGTCTCACCATGAGAGATTCTTTGGAATTATCAAGAAGCAGTGCAAGGCTCACCATGTACACACACCCAGCCCAGCTCAATGCAGCGCCTGCCTCCCATCAAGTCAGGTCAGTGCACTCACAGCCATCGCACCGTGCCACAGGCGGGCTGCCATAGCAGCTCATACAGAACAGAGGCCTCACTGTGGACACGCCCACCTCAATGCATGAAAGATTCATCCCACAGCACTGCAGCACACCGCAGCACACCGCAGCACACCGCAGCACACCGTAACAGCTCAAGCCCACTCACCGTGTAAACGCCCAGCTCAATGCAGCGCCTTGCTCCCATGAGGCGCACCAGCATGGCCAGGAACGCCCCCTGCTCTGGGGACACCTGCAGGGATGGTGGTGGCAGGCAGGCAGGCAGGCAGACACACAACAGCATGAATGTATGTGTGTGCACAGCCACACTACCCGCCCCTTGCTCCCATCAGCCGCACCAGCATTGCCAGGAACGCTCCCTGCTCCGGGGACACCTGCAGGGATGGTGGCAGGCAGGCAAGCAAGCAAGCAAGCAAGGGTGTGAATGGTATGGTGGTGAATGCTTAGTGGGAATATACGCTCAGAACCTAAAGCGTATAGCGTATATACGCTTGCGTTCATACGCAAAACGCTATACGCTAGCTAATACGCTATACGCTTTCAGAGTTTTTTAGGGGCTGCCCGGGAAAAAAATTCGTGTGTATACGGAAAGATGCGGAATCTCCTGGTGAGCATTTCGCCGAAGTCGAGGTGCAATTCGGGGTTGTAGGGAAGCGGGAATGTGCCTTACAATCGCGTCTGGCAGTTCAGATCTACAATTTTGATTAGTACCGCATTGAAAACCATCCCATCTACGAACTCCAACCTGTCAAAAACGTTCCCCCAACAAACCCCACTCATGCTACTAACCAGCCAGCCCAACTGCACTCGACATTTCCCGCTTCCCAACAGAGCTCCCGATTCCTACTTTTCCTTCTAGTGTCTACTACACATCCCACCCTAATCGAAGTTCAGACTTAGGAGAATGCTACGAAATTCTTAATGAAAATACGGAATACCTTCCCGATGTTGAGCGCGACATTGTTTTTCACCCTGCCCAGGAAGTTTTTTTCCTGCCCGAAAAAGCGGATTTCCAAACCCGTCCCTACAGCGTATAGCGTATATAAGATTGCGTATATACGATAAGTGTATATACGCAATAAGCGTATATTCCCACTAAGGGTGAATGCACCGCCTGGCTCCCATCAGCCGCACCAGCATGGCCAGGAATGCTCCCTGCTCCGGGGACACCTGCAGGGATGGTGGCAGGCAGGCCTACGTTGGAAAATACGAGTATCGAGTATAATACGTTAGCGTATTATACGCTTGGTATATACGCGGTACGCCAAGGCTGGCGTACTGCTGATACGCAAAAATACGCTGGTGGGCAGATGAAACTTTTTTCCCGGGCAGGTATAAAAAAAACCTGTTTCAGGGGGGGGGTTCAGGCCGACAACAACACATGTGAATTTTTTATTTCATAAATATCCAGAAATACATAGTTGGGGCTACTTCTCCACATCATCCACATAATCCCCACCCTCTAGCAAGCTTCCCCAAAGCCTATTTCCTTGCGGGGCTTTTCCACCACCACCCCTTCCCCATACTCATCCGCCAAAACTGCATCATCTCCTTCCGCCCCCATCAGGTCATCCTCCTCCTCGTCCATGTTGTAGCCGCGAGGGATAGGGGCATGCGGGATGTTACCGGGCACAACCGTGCTGCCCCCATCCTTGTTGTACCAATTGCGCACAACGTTCCAGTTGTGCGCAATGTAAACGAGGTCCGCACACTTGGCGAACCCGAGCCGGTTGCGGCGGGCGGTGTGGACGCCTTCCCACTGCGCCCAGCCACGTTCGCATGGGGAAGCCGAGACGGGCTGAGTGAGCACCCGGCATGCGAGGGTGGCAAGCTCAGGGTACTCGGTGCTGTGCCACGACCACCACTGCACCATGCTCATCTCCCCCTTCTTCACTGCCTCCCTTGCAGTTATGGCGCCCGGCTTGCCAAAACTGCCCTCCATGTTGATGTAGGCCAGCAATGCCTCCTGCAGCACAAGGGAGGCGCGGCGAGGGGCACCATCCTTGCCGCGCCTGAAGGTGACGTTGTCATAGTGGCGCTCGATGTAGTCCTTGAACACCCGCGTGCACTCCACATCGTTCCTGAAAATTCCCTCCACCTGGTTGGCCGGATTCAGGATCCGGCCAACCACATGCATGGGGCAGGCAAGGGAGTTGTCCCACCTGTCCTTCACAATCTTGGTGATGTCTGCCCTCTCTGCCCGAGTCAAGAAGTCGCCTGCATCGTCGAGCTTGTCATTGATGTCCTCGGTAAGCTGTAGCATAATGTCATACATCTTACCCATCATGCCTTTCGCGGAAGAGTCCGTGGCCCGCATGGCCTTGAATGGCACCTCCATGAGAGAGGTAAAGAACGCCGCCACCCCCCACCACTCCTCATCCATCACAGCAGCCCTGAATTTATCGGCTGCAGTCTTCCTATCCTTGTCCCCCGCTGCCCACACCTTCCACTCGTCACTGAGCACCATCGCTGCCAGCCCACTCCTCACCTCACATAGCCGGGCCATGGCTATGTACTGTGTCCCGAACCTGGTTCCCGCGGGCTTGAGCACCTGCTTCCCCCCCACTTTCTTCATATAGGCACGGGTGAAGTGGTGGTTGCGCACGAAGGTAATCATCTCCCCTCCTTTCTCCACAAGCCCCTTCGCCCATCCCATTTTGCCCACATCTTCCATCAACAGGTCCAGGACATGCGTGGCACATGGCACATGCTCAATGTGCGGCCATGTGCCCGCAATCTTCCGAGCTGCCGATGCATAGTTGCTGCCGCCATCGGTGCAGACCGCCACCACATTCTCCGGCCCCACCTTATCAATGACGGGGCGGAGAAGGCTGGCGATGTACCCCCCGGTCTTCGACTCCATGTTGCAGTCCACGGCCTGCTCGAAAACTGCGCCGGAGTCGTTGACAAGGAGTACGTTGGCCTGCGGGCGGCCACAACGGTCGGTCATCATGTCCGACGACACGGTGAGACCGTCCCGCTTCCAGCTCGCGGCAACGGGGGCGAGCGCCACCTCCATTTTCTGCCGCACTTTCTTCAAGCCCGCCCCTCCAATGTAGCGCCTCTTGGGGGGGACATACCCCGGTCCCGCGTGCGCAAAGCACTGGACCGCGTAGCGGAAGACCGGATCATCCACGATGCGCTCTGGAAGCTTCAGCGCCGCGATCATTAGGCAAAGCGCGTTATCCGCGTCCTCCTTGGCGCACGTCGCCTCGTCGCCGAAGAAATCTGTTATCTTCCCCTTCTTCTCCGCACATCCAGTGACCGCGCCCAGCACGGAGTCGAGTGCTGCAGCGGCCGCCCCTCGTTTCATGCTCTTGTTTTCCTCCTTGTTCTCGTACATGGCACGCACTTCTTCACGGACTTCCGGGGACGCGTCCTTACAAAGCCTGACAGGGCGTCCATCCTGCCCTTTCCATTTGGCGAGGTGAACTGCGCAGCGAGTGGTTCCGCCCTCAAACTTGAAGCCACAAAACTTACAAAGCTTGGGATTGCCTTTGGTGTGGGGGGGAATAAGAAAATGTTTCAGAATTGGGTTCGAAAAGCCAGCCTCAACAGGCTGCGTGTTGATCGCACTACTAGACGCGTGAACAGATGCTACATTGCTCGTCGCGCTAGGAGGGGTGGAGTTCGACGCCATGGCGCGCGACTAAGGAACGGTAGACTGCTTGAGGAAAAACGGGAGATCAGAGCTCGGGAATGAAATTGAGGAGGAGAGAATCGAATGAAGGATAGGAAGGCGTCAACGAGTAAATGCTCAGATGACGTGCTGGACATTTGAGAGGGGTGGTTGGATATGAGAGGTTTGGTGGGGTGGTGTGTGGTTGGGGTGGTGGGAGGTTTGGATTCTGAAATTTGAATTTCAGAAGTGGGTTGGGCGATGTGCTTGGTCGCGGTAACCAGTCGCGAAGCCCTAATAACCGTCGCAAAAAAAAATCAATTTCGATTTTTTTATTCGCCGGGCTGCCCGGGCGTTTTCTCACGAATTCGAAGCGTATTAGCGTACCACGTACGTACGCAATCGTATATACGTGGTACGCCACCCTACCCAGGGCGTATTTTCCAACGTAGAGGCAGGCAAGCAAGCAAGCAAGCAAGCAAGGGTGTGAATGGTATGGTGGTGAATGCACCGCCTGGCTCCCATCAGCCGCACCAGCATGGCCAGGAATGCTCCCTGCTCCGGGGACACCTGCAGGGATGGTGGCAGGCAGGCAAGCAAGCAAGGGTGTGAATGGTATGGTGGTGAATGCACCGCCTGGCTCCCATCAGCCGCACCAGCATGGCCAGGAACGCTCCCTGCTCCGGGGACACCTGCAGGGATGGTGGTAGCCAGGCAGGCAGACAGACACACAAGAGCATGAGTGTATGTGTGTGCACAGCCACACTACCCGCCTTGGTCCCATCATCCCATCAGCCGCACCAGCATTGCCAGGAACGCTCCCTGCTCCGGGGACACCTGCAGAGATGGTGGTGGAACAGGTGGGGTGGGGTGGGGTGGGGTGGGATGGGATGGGATGGGATGGGAGGGGAGGGGAGGGGAGGGGAGGGAGGGACGTGACCCTTGACCTGCATCACTTTGCGAATTCTTTCTTAAGTGCAACTTCATACTTTAAGGGTGCTTATAGCGGGGACAGAACAGCCTTTTGATTATTTGCATGGTTACTCAACATATAGCGGATAGAAGACCACCTCCTGCTTATATCGGGTATGACATAATTCCTCACCTGCATCTCTTTGCCTATCATGGTGGCGGTTTCCCTCCTGAGCTCGGCTAGAATCTGCACTATGCACCTGCTTATAACGGATAAACGACCATCCCTTGCTATATCGGGTATAAGTTACAATATAATTCCTCACCTGCATCTCTTTGCCTATCATGGTGGCGGTTTTCCTCCTCAGCTCGGCTAGAATCTGCATGACATGCGACAGGGCAGGCCAGACAGGGGACAAGGGCAGCGGATATGGGGAGAGGAGATGAGGAGATGACATGAGATGACATGAGATGACATGAGAAGATGACATGAGGAGATGACACGAGATGACATGGGAACGGGGGATGGGAAGAGGAGATTGGAAGTAGAGGCGGACAAAGCCAGGGGGACAAAAGCAGGGGGACGAAAGCAGGGGGACAAAAGCAGCGGGCTTGGGTAGGGTGCAAGGGTAGTGCGCACGATTAGGGTCAAGAAAGGATGGGACAGAGAGTGCGAGAGTGAGAGTGGAAGAGCGAGAGGAGGAGAGTGCAGTGGAGGGGGGACGAACAACAATCTTTCCAGAAGCCCTTCAGAGAGCCTGTTACAGTCACGTCTTATTCACATTATCACCTGTTACAGTCACACTCCTTATAGTCACCTCGGGTTCTCGGGTGTGTTCCAGGATGTATTGGTAGACGCGCGAGTCGACTTTAATCACCTCCTTACTCCCGTACGACGGGTCTAGCGCCATGGGGGCTGCTGATGTGGCAGACGTGGACACGGTCGCTGCTGAGCTGGCAGATGAGCTGGCATGTACGGGTAATCGAGCCACGTGGCATTGAGTCGCCACGCGGCTATGGCTACTAAGGTTGAGCTTTTTGCCGATCGCGGCTCGACCTCGAGGGAGGGAGGAGAGGCTGTGACTGTGGGAACCGACATGGGTCATTTGGGGAAATACCGCTCCGTTATTATAACAACATAGTGGCGAGACTGCTCCGGTATTACAGCAAATGCTGGTAGCGCGGCGGCATAGCGCGAGGAGAGTCATGAGAGCTACGTCTGCGGAGGCGCTATTGGCTGCTGAGCTGTCTTGGTAATTAACTACTGCTCTACTATGCCGTGGTGTTTCAGGAGAACCACGATACGATACCGACAACGAAAGTAGATACGATACGGATCAGGCACAATACGGAAGTGGTCAGGTTGCTCGCCGGCGTTCAATGTGGTTCAGTTTGAACGTTCTGTTGGCGTGGGGTGGGGGTCTGGGCTAGGAGGCCAGGTAAAGGAGGAAGAGGCCACTAGTAGGAGCCTGGGAGCTCTACTGTACTCGCTTAATTTACGCCGTCACACACAACTAGCTGCGCCACGTCAGCGCACCGCAAGTGCAGCAGCACCGGTCGGCTTTACAGCGGCGGAGGATCATACGCGATAACAAGACAGGAATTGGAACTGCTGCGTTGCCCTACAGCAGCTGTGTAGTGCAGAACTTTGATACACGCTGGAACAAAAAGTTGGTCAAATTTCCCCATTGATTTGGGAGAATCCTCGCTTGAAGCACTGTCATCTGTTCGGTAAGAGATCCTAATTTTATCCCAACTTTCCAGCAGGGCAGCAAGGGCAGTTCACCATCTGAATTCATTGGCATTCGAGTTCAGCTTGGGTCCAGGCGTGAGTATACTTTGCGGTTCCAGACCAAACCCTGCCTGCGTAACTAGAGCCTACGAGGCGTGGGCCTTAGTCGACAACTCTGGACTTGCATTTTAGAGTTTCAAGGGCGGTCTTACTTGAAACGGATAGCGACGGTATGACAAAAAACGGAGCTGATGTGGATGCAATGATCCCCAGCCGTGACACGTCAGCACAACTTGCACAGAACAACGGCGACGCGGCGCGGCTGGTGTACCAGCTCGGCCTGCAGATGCTGCTCAGCGGTGACCCCGTGAAGGCCGCGCGATGCTTCCAGGAGGTTTCGCGCGTCTTCTGTGATTGGCCGCTGCTGTGGATGCGGCTGGCGGAGTGCTGCATTCTCACCCACCAGCAGCAACAGGAGGAGGAAAGAGATTATCATGAAAAGCAGCAAGAGGAGCGATAATCAGAAGCAGCAAGGCTCACTTAGATCCAGCAGCATGACGGTGACTGTGATGAGCGGCGGAAAGAACGAGGACACGTGGCAGTATGTCCTGCTGCCAGCTGGCACGCGCGGCGACGGATCCGAAGTCAAGTCAGAAACAGGGGTTCACGCTAAAAGCACGGACAGGAGCTCTACAGTCAAATCGACGGCTCTCGGCGGCACTGGAGCAGGTGAATCGACGGCCCTCAGTGGGCTTGCAGATCTCATGGCGAGGCGAGTGCGAGGGGAGGCAGGACCGAGCCCTCGCGGCGATTCAGGGAAGCAAGAAGCATCATCAGCCAATCCTCCTAGGCACCATGTTGGCACTGCTGCCGGTAGCAGCAGCACCAGCAGCGGCGGTACCACCAGTGACGCAACGGTCAGTACAGACAGAGCGGGGTCCGGCTATTCTAAGCAGCCGCTGCCGTTCTCGCTCTCTCTGTCGTCCTCTCTGGGCCTGGATCCCCTCCCCCTGGCGCGCATGTGTCTCAAGAACGCCATCCACCTGCTGCTCTCGCACCCCCCTCATACCAGCACCGCCAGCACCGTCAGCACCGTCAACAGCAGCAGAATCAGCAGCAGCAGCAGCAGCAGCAGCAACGGTAGCAGCAGCAGCAGCCAGAAGGCGTTCACTCCCCCACCTCTCCTGCCCGCTGCCCACCGCCGCCTTCTCCTCTCAGCCCTGTGCCAGCTGGCCTGGGTCGAGCTCTCCCTCCTTAACCACCTCGCCTGCCTTGCCACCGCCCAACACGCCCTCTCCCTGCTCAACACCCGGAGCAACGCTCTCGCTCACACCGCAAACGACCCACACACCGCAAACGACCCACGCACACCTCTTACCTCACACGAACCTGTTAGCCCTGACAGGAGCTCAGACCCGTGGCAGCGCAGCGCCCTCCGCATGTACGCAGCAGAGGCTCTCTGCCTCCTCGGCCGCCCTGCCGACGCTCTGAGCCTCCTCTCTGAGTGCCTTGTCGAGTTCCTGGAAGCTTCGCCTCCTGCAGCTGCCACAGGGGCGGCAGGAGGAGCAGTTGCAGGAGGTAGGGGAGCAGCAGCAGCAGGAGCAGCAGAAGCAAGAGGAGTAGGAGCAGCAGCAGCAGGCAGAGGGGGGAAATGGAGGGAGTGGAGGGAGAGCGTGTATGTGAACCTGGCTGCTCTGCATGCCATGAAGGGCGACCTTGCAGAGGCTAGGGTGTGCGCTGACAAGGCAGGGGGTGGAGGGGCAGGTGGAAGGGAGGGGGCAGGTGGAAGAGGGATGGCAGGGGGTGAGGAAGTCACGTGTGCTGATGGCATGGCTTTAGTGGTGCAGGCTTATTTGGAGCTTAGAGAAGCGCTTGAGGCTCGTGGGGATGTTAAGGCTGATCACTGTGATGGGGCGGTGAATGCTGGGCGGTGGGAGGAGAGGTGTGACACGGCTCTGCGTCTACTGCAGCGATCCAACATGGTGCGGTTTAGAATGTGCAGTGGTAACAGCATGGGAGCTTGAGGTTGATCTGTTGTAGTGGACAAGATTTTGAGATTGTGATTCGTTTGCAAAGAATCAGCTCTATGATCAGTCTTGGCTTACCGTATGCCAACTGGATCGCATGCACCTGACTGGCTGTCTTGTGGTGTCATGGCGGTGTTTGTAGCTCAAGAAACTAAATGGAATGGCTGGCAAGGACCTTAGTAAAACAAACCATAGTATCAAAAAGTATGTACCACGGCTGCATGTAACCTGCGATGGCTGGACATTTGTCAAATGGGATCAAACTTTGACAAATGTAACCTTATGGTATACTGGTATGAGGGTGTGTTGTTCATTTGTGTTACGGGTGCAATTGAGCGAGCGAGCGAGAATTGCACTATCGAAGCAAAACAATACAATGAGCGAAGTCATGCGCGAAGAATATATAGCGAACTAGAGTGGTAACGGTAACGCGAGATAATGGGGTGCGCTACGGGCCTAGCGCCGAGGTTGGGAAATGTCGAGGCGGAGGTCCGGAGCGCGGGTTACCAACCGAACCGTGAGGTTGGGTCGCATCGTGAACGGTGGCGGGAGTCGTAGTCGAGGCGAGTGTCGCGAGCGGGTAACGTTTCACTGTTTGGGTGCCGATGGCGGGAATGGTCTTGTACGCGGTAAGCAGGGGCGCGAAGTAAGGAAAAGGAATTTTCCTTACACTACCCCCCCCCCCAAGGAGGCCCTCCTTATGAGAGCGCGTGTACATCGCGAAAGTTTCGGCTGCGCAGATACTCAGTGAGGACAGGGTGAATTTCAACTCTATCCAGGGGGACCCAGTTGCAGGGCCTATTTTTGCTTTTGGGGCACTCTTGGGAATCAGGGTGCCTTTATGACGTCACCCTGCCTGTCAGTGTATTTTTTCTTCCACCCTGTCAAAATCAGGGTAAATTTTTAAGCACCCTGATTTGTAACGGAAATGGGGGAATTGGGGCTGGGAGTGGAGAGGGAATTGTGGGGAGGGGCTGGGAGATGCGAGGGAAACGGGGGGAATTGAGCGGGGCGTGGCGAGGGATACGAAAAATGGGGCTCGGCGGCTCGGAGAAGTGAGGGAATTGGTGAGAGTGGGGCTGGGAGTGGCGAGGGTACTCTGACGCGTAAGGGTAAGAATCAGCGCACACTGATTTCAACAGGGTAAAAAATGTCAAACATATATATGTTATATGTTGTAGTTATTGGTAGGCTGTAGTGGGGTAGATTCTGTGGGGTATAACCCCTTAGGTTTTTCCTACTTGTAAAACCCTCTCGATAGTTGAATCCACCCTTGCCTAAGTGTTGACATGGTATCTAGAGCACTAAGGTCTCTAGGACCTAAGAATAGGGCCCACCTTTAACTGAGTTACCTCACCTACAGCCTCATTGCCTGCCTGCCTGCCCTGCCTGCTGACCGCGCGCGCCTCGGCTGCTTGCGCGCGTCACTTTTTTTTCCGCGCGCGCCTCTTAAGCAGCCCGCGCGCAGCCCTTTAGGCCCGTTTAGGCCTGTTTTCGGCCCCGCGCGCCACGTCAGCCGCCCGCGCAGCCTGCCGCCGGCCCGCGCGTCGCGTGAGCCGCCCGCGGGCAGCCCGCTTAGGCCCTGCGCGCCGCATCCGCCGCCCGCGTAGCCCGTTTTTAGCCTGCCGCCGGCCCCGCGCGTCGCCTCCTCCAGTGACGGCGCGCTGCCCCCCGTCGCCCGTCACGGCGCCTGTGGCGCGCTGCCCTGCACCAGCTACGCCGCCCCTGGAGCAGCCGCCCCTGGTGCAGCCGCCCCTGGACCCAGAGCAGCCGCCCCTGGCCCCTGAAGCAGCCGCCCCTGGTGCAGCCGCCCCTGGACCCAGAGCAGCCGCCCCTGGCCCCTGAAGCAGCCGCCCCTGGTGCAGCCGCCCCTGGACTCCGTGCAGCCGCCCCTGGACCCAGAGCAGCCGCCCCTGGACCCTCGAACACCGCCCCTGGACCCAGAGCAGCCGCCCCTGGCCCCTGCAGCAGCCGCCCCTGGACCCCGAGCAGCCGCCCCTGGACCCCGAGCAGCCGCCCCTGGCCCCTGAAGCAGCCGCCCCTGGTGCAGCCGCCCCTGGGCCCTCAAGCAGCCGCCCCTGGACCCAGAGCAGCCGCCCCTGGCCCCTGCAGCAGCCGCCCCTGGAGCAGCCGCCCCTGGACCCAGAGCAGCCGCCCCTGGCCCCTGCAGCAGCCGCCCCTGGTGCAGCCGCCCCTGGACTCCGTGCAGCCGCCCCTGGACCCGCGACGCCGCCCCTGGACCCCGTGCAGCCGCCCGCCGAGCGCCGGCCCTGCTCGCCCGGCGAGCGCCTTCTCTTCCCGCCACTGGTGAGCACCTGCCTTGTTTGCGCGCTACCGCGCCATCTGCCTGCCTGCCTGCCTGCCTGCCTGCCTGCCTGCCTGCCGGCCTGCCTGCCTGCCTGCCTGCCGCGCCTGCCCTGCACGCGCTGCTGCTGCTACTACTTCTGCTACTGCTGTTACTGCTGCTACTGCTGCTACTACTCCTACTGCTGCTACTGGCTGTGGCCAGATGCAGCTCCAGCGACATCCGCGCGAGTCTCTCACGCCCCAGCAGCTTAGTGAGTGGTATGCTAGTTGGGGTTGTCGCGGTAATAGTCGTAGCTGTCACCCTGGAGCTGGTCAGTTGGGAGCGTCTGGCAGTGGCCAGCTGCAGCTGCAGCGGCGTCCACGCGAGACACTTACGCCCCGGCAGCTTCACGAGTGGTACGCTCAGAGTAGAGGGTCTTTGAGTACCGTTCGCTGCCCGTACGTCATTCGCACAGGTGATCGGACTGGTCAGGCTTGCGGGACGCTTGGTCACACACAGTCCCGCTGCTTCGCCCGTCTGAGTGACGCCTGGCGTACCGAGTTTGGCGATGAGGCTGAGCTCCCCGACTGGGTGGAGCTGCTTGGGCGGAGGGTAGATATATTTGCTCTTGACTATGATGCTATTCTCACTGCCATGTATGCATTGCCTACTAGTGCTGACCGTGCCTGTTACCTGTGCGTACCGCCTGACCCAGGTATAGAGCCTGCCACTCCAGGTGCTGGTGAGTCTGCTCTCTCTGGTACTGCGCCTGCTGAGGCCTTGTACACCTTCACACTTGACTCTGGTGCTTCTCGCTCCTTCTTTCGCGACAGCACCACCCTCACGCCGCTCAGTCGGCCGGTTCCAGTCTCCCTGGCAGACCCCTCTGGGGGTCCAGTCCGTGCGACCTCCTCCACTGTCCTCCCTTGTCCTGCTGTCCCGTCCGGCACACTGTCGGGTCTTTACCTCCCCTCGTTCTCTACGAACTTGGTGGCGGGTTCTGCGCTCCAGGACGCGGGTGTTCACCAGTTCACCCCTGCCTACGAGCGTGTGACACACTGCACGTGTGCTCAGACGGGTCGTCACCTGGCTACTTTCACTCGGCAGCCTGGGTCGGGCCTGTACACACTGACCACTGAGTCCCCTCAGGTAGCTGCGTCTGCGTCTGTGTCAGGTCAGTTGTCGGCCCCCTGCTCGTGTCGCGCCTTGTCGCACCAGACGGTCCTTTGGCACCACCGCCTTGGTCACCCCTCGGTGCAGCGCCTTCGTAGCATGCACCGCCGTTTCCTTGTCTCTGGACTTCCAGAGACTCTGCCTCCTCTACCGCCCTCGCCTGCTCCTCCCTGTCTTCCCTGTGTCGAGGGGCGGCAGCGCGCCGCTCCTCACTCCTCCTCGTTCCCTCCCACAGAGGCTCCCTTGCAGACTCTCCACCTGGACGTGTGGGGCCCAGCCCGCGTCCGTGGACAGGGCCGCGAGCGGTACTTCCTGCTGGTCGTCGACGACTACACGCGTTACACCACGGTCTTCCCCTTGCGCAGCAAGGGGGAGGTCCCTGATGTTTTGATCCCCTGGATCCGCGCTGCTCGTCTCCAGATCCGCGAGCGTTTCCACTCGGACTTTCCTGTCCTGCGTCTGCACTCTGACAGAGGTGGTGAGTTCTCCTCAGACCTCTTGGCAGCCTACTGTGCGGAGCACGGCATCCGCCAGTCGTTCACGCTTCCGGCCTCTCCGCAGCAGAATGGGGTTGCTGAGCGCCGCATTGGCTTAGTCATGGAGGTCGCTCGTACCTCCATGATCCATGCGGCTGCCCCCCATTTTCTGTGGCCGTTTGCGGTCCGGTACGCCGCGCATCAGCTCAACCTCTGGCCCCGTGTCTCCTTGCCGGAGACCTCGCCCACACTGCTGTGGACGGGGAAGGTTGGCGATGCGTCGCGTTTCCGGGTCTGGGGTGCTCGTGCCTTTGTCCGCGATACCACTGCGGACAAGCTCTCCGCCCGCGCTGTTCCCTGTGTCTTCCTTGGCTTTGTCCCTGACGCGCCTGGTTGGCAGTTTTACCACCCCACCTCGCGCCGTGTCTTCCCCTCTCAGGACGTCACGTTCGACGAGTCGGTTCCCTTTTACCGTCTCTTCCCCTACCGCACTGCCCCTCTCCCCCCCCCGCCGCTCTTCCTCGCTCCAGGTGCTCCCCAGGTAGACCCCCTCCCCGCTCCCGGTCCTGCTCCTTCAGGTGTGTCTCAGGTAGACCCTCCTCCTCAGGTTGAGGTCACTGGTGACTCAGGTCCTGCTGAGGGTGGTGCTGCTGCTGGGGGTGCTGAGCCTGGGGGTGCTGAGCCTGGGGGTGCGGAGCCTGGGGGTGCGGAGCCTAGGGGTGCTGAGCCTGGGGGTGCTGAGCCTGGGGGTGTTGAGCCTGGGGGTGCGGAGCCTGGGGGTGTGGAGACTGGAGGTGCTGAGCCTGGGTGTGAGGAGTCTGGGGGTGCTGAGCCTGGGGGCGCTGAGGCGTCTGGTGAGCAGTCTCCCGGGAGCGGCCGTCTCCGTAGTCGCTCCGCTGGTGCCTCGCCGCTGCACTCTCGTCGTCGACTCCCTCTCTCCCCACAGCAGCTGTTTGAGTGGTACGCTGGCCGTCAGGGTTGCGCTGCTGGAGCTAGGGGCCCTGCTGCGGGAGGCGCTGGAGCTGGTGACTCTGCCACTGGAGTTGTTTCTACTGGAGGTT